AACGTCACGTAACATTATGTGAAATTTGATAACATAGAATTCAACATTGCAAAACAAAATTGATTTAGAATGACAAGTAGAACAAGTGAAATAATATCGCGGACAATTCAAAGTGAGAATAGTAATAGTAAGAATTGACGTTATAAAGGAAGAGTATACAAAGTGAATAAACAAAACGAAAAATAGATAGAGCCAAAGTATGATTAGGGACAACCATACCTTAGCACAGAGGGATTAAGACCATGAAAGTTGGAGGAGTTGAACGAACTTTTTCTGTATACACAGATCTGGCTTTTCTGTTTCGATGACTAAAGCTTCAACAATACAGATGAGTCAGATACGTAGTGATTTGGGCAAATTACTTTTCGCCTTGTAGATGACTATAAAGGTGGAGGCTATAGATATGGGGTGGTCATTATCGACTAGATGTTTAATGATCGCGCTTCTTATTGTTCCATTTCTACCTCTTCGTGACCATATAGGATAGTGTTCTTTCACCCTTTTGGATAAAACTCGAGTTGAACGATCGATATACCTAGCTCCACACGAACAGGTGAATTGATAAACGCACATAGATTTGGTCAGCTGCAGGATCTTTTTCTTCAGGTTATTGAACACTAATGATCGACTGGATAACGCTATTCTCAACGATGCACCAGGGAATGTCCTTTTCAGGGACTGTGAGATCCTTCTTTTAATGATTCAATTGCCTCACTAGATTGTACAGCTTGGTAATAAATTCGTTGAAAAGAGTCTTTTCGCTGAATCACTTGTTTTGATTTTCTCTATGTCCCAATGGGAGCTTCCCATGAATTTAGTTTCAGAAAGCTTTGATCCTCTTTTGAGGTAAAGACTCAACATATCATACAGACTTTCAAGTTGAGAATCGACTCCTAAGTCAGATACATTGTTTAATAGGATAGAAAAGCTGAAGCTTGCCCCCCACCCCTACACATAATTTAAGCAAATACGCCTTTCTGGCAAATTCCCGTCATGCTTTACATTTACTTGATGGTATATTAGTCATAGGTGTTTGAATTAATGTGGTTAATCAAACATAGGATCAGAGTTCAGGGATGTGAATCAATGGATTACATTAGAGGTGATCATCATCATAATAATAATAATAATTATTATTATTATTATTATTATTATAAGGATAAATTCATTCAAGTGTTCATAGAATCTAGGCAATAGTGAGTGTATAGGTATAATACTTTTCTTTACTTTACTTCGGCTATCTCCTACGGGAGGATGAGCCGGCTTCATGAACATCTCGAATCATCGCTGCCCATGCGCGGCGATCTGATGCAGAGTCGTTTGTAAGAGAGTTCATGAGGTTTCATGGGAATTTGGTACGAGTAATGTCCTCAGAATCGCTCGGCCTTTTGTTTGAGAGTGCAGCTCTAGCCTTTACACAACCAAGTGTGACCTACAATGTGTATACTTGTAGGGGTAGAGAGGGAAATAACTATTGTCATACAGCGATTAGACAATATAATAATAATAGTTTGTGAAGCTGAGAATAAAATGTACAATTACAACACAGTATGATATTGATAATACAGTTGGCATTACAAATAAAAAAAATAGTAGGATAATATTTACAGTTAATCGGTGTCACTGGGAGAGATAACTATTTGAGGTTAAGGGTACAGACCAAGGTAGGGAGCGAGATTAAGAAAACGTTTTCTGAACACAGAGATTGGGCTGAAAAATCATTTTCATTATTATATTATCTAATCGCTGTGTGACAATAGTTATTTCCCTCTCTACCCCTACAAGTATACACATTGTAGGTCACACTTGGTTGTGTAAAGGCTAGAGCTGCACTCTCAAACAAAAGGCCGAGCGATTCTGAGGACATTACTCGTACCAAATTCCCATGAAACCTCATGAACTCTCTTACAAACGACTCTGCATCAGATCGCCGCGCATGGGCAGCGATGATTCGAGATGTTCATGAAGCCGGCTCATCCTCCCGTAGGAGATAGCCGAAGTAAAGTAAAGAAAAGTATTATACCTATACACTCACTATTGCCTAGATTCTATGAACACTTGAATGAATTTATCCTTATAATAATAATAATAATTATAATTATTATGATGATGATGATCACCTCTAATGTAATCCATTGATTCACATCCCTGAACTCTGATCCTATGTTTGACTAACCACATTAATTCAAACACCTATGACTAATATACCATCAAGTAAATGTAAAGCATGACGGGAATTTGCCAGAAAGGCGTATTTGCTTGATCGTATTGTATAATTATCATAATGGGAATATTTAAATTAATCTGCTATTACTCTTAACCAACTTTGGTAATCCTCATTTGATTATCTAACGAGAAGTAGTGTTAATTGGTCTTACTCTTAGATCCATTATCACTTGGTTTATTTTAATTGGCCTATATTTCTTGATAAGTGAATGTGTGATCAGATTGTTCGAAATGTATTGCGCAAATACATCACATTTTTCAGATAATCTTCGTCTTCTAATGATACAACCCAAATTTATAAAAGGGACTAATTATGTTAAATAAACTTGTGTGATTATTATATGTCACTGGGTATTAAAAGACATTCTGTGTAACGTTTTGATATGTATTCACGTAATTTATAATGTTAACTTATAGTATTTTGCCTTAAGCTTCTGAGTAACGGTAAGAAATCTGGATAGTGTTATTACAGTACAATTCAAAATAAATCTATCGAATTCAAACACCATGACAAAGTTCCTTTTTATAAGATAGCTGGATATATTTTGTCTGGTAATTCACATAATCACTCAATATCCTGGGGTTTTCAAATTCTACTAGTTCATTACACAGAGCTGCATTCCCTTCGAAATACTTAAATGATGACGGTATTCTACTAATGGACGCTGGCTGCTATAGAGTCCTAAATTGGGACGAAACCGCCGCACCGTGCTTTCTAGCATTTTCTACCCAATGTCAACTTCAGATGAAATCCACGTGCAGACAGTGAATTAATACTCGTGTCAGATATTAATACTAATACAATTGTACAACTACTGAAAATGAAACGGACGAAAAGGAGTCTTTGTTGTAATTCTCGTTTCTTCTCTGAAATCCTGCTGGGCACTTTCGGTAAATTGTGATTAATTCTAGTACAGTTAATTATAAACACTGAATCTAACTTTCATACGATTATTAATAAACTGTATTTCTTTCATAATAGTTTAACTTTGACTGTTGCATTAAACAAATTGTGATATGGGAATAATCTCTGCTAAATTAATTATCCTATAGATAAATGATTTTAGTGATATACCGTACAACATCAAATATTAATCAAGTAATGGATTTAAAAAGGATTTATATGGGATTTTAATTTTCAAAAAAGGTTAAAACAAATACCAAATTACTACTGCCAATCCCTTATTTCTAATTGCCTTTACTTTCACTGTATTAATATGAGAAATTAGGCTTGTTATGAGACTGTGTGATTAAGCTAGTTAAAAAAAAGGAGATACTGAATTCCACCGGAAAATTTATTTGCAGCATTTTCCCCCTGTTAAAAATGTTGGTACAGAAATAGTTTATAGGTGTATAATAAGCGTTTCTTGTCAGAAACTCTGTAGTCCCATGAAGTCTGCATATAAGTGTGAAGCCTTAAATACTTAGCCAACATTTCTACCGACGAACTTTACAGAACTATGCAAATTAATGTCACCAATATGAGTGTATAATGCCAACTTATCGAAGTGTTTATTACCTGTTACACCTAAGTGTATTGCTGTTGCGTCATTTCTTATTGCATGTGTTTAATGTAGAAGATTCAATGATTAGTGTAGGGAGTGTTCGTCACTATGTATTATTTCGAATAAAACTATTCTCTTATGAAAAGCATTGAATAATACATAAATGTGAACAAAATAAAAACATAAAATAGGATGTATCAAAACTGCAGGATTAGTGCATTAACAATTTGTTTATTTCTTTTGACAATATCATGTGAATTTTATTATTATTGTTTTGAGAGATGGGATTTTGTTTTTTCTGGGAATTTACTGGTCGAATATTATTGTATCGTGATAAATAGGTATACCTATCAGATGTTTTGTCCATTATCACGTGAAACTGTAGACTAGAGTTTAGGTAACTCACCGTATTTGTATATCGGGCTTACTTTTATTATGGGAATAAGCACCTTAGTTTAAGTAGAATAAGTTCGAGTTAAAATTTGTACAAAATGCACATTTTAAATGTCTTTACGAAATAACTTGGAAGTTAGACGAAGATTGTGATCACAAATTTAACCTCCCTTCTGTAAATTTAAATCGTAATAATTGAGAAGTGCTGTAATTTAACTATTTTCGGTTCCGAAATGGATTATTATAGGGGTATGCAGTGGTAAAAGCTATTTAAGTTTCTTAATATTAATATTTCGATGATTAGATTGACAGTGTTTTGACGACACTTCATGTATTCTCTGTTTTTTTGTCATTTTTACTGCCATTTGTATGGATTAAGGACTATCCATAAACCGAAAGTACTGATCATTTTCACTTATTGTTATAGTAAAGAATTTTTGTAGGTTGAAATTTAATCATTACTTCTGCGATATCTTCACGTCTGATACTCTCTTAGATAGAGTGTATTATAATATTCGTGTTACTACTTCTGATATTTGTAATTTTATTCCTCTGAGTTTCGATTTGAGCATTGGGATTCAGGATTAAAGCCTTGAAGTTTCACGATACCATGATATTGTTTTTACGGAGTGAGATTTCTGGTCTCACTCCCAACTTTCTATTCTATCCGGGCTTATTATCGACTAGTGAATTGGGTGAGGTAAACAAGTGAGTTGACTGGACGTACTTCTTCTGTTACAGTGTAGAGATTGATGGAAGAAAACAGAATGTGTCTATATAACTTTTGTAGATGTTTTTCCCCATTATGTTATCTGGTAATAAATGGCATTTTAGAGTTGTTTAACGCATTTCATTTTTGTCTTTGTACTTTTTCAGGCAACTCTTACAAAATCATCTCATGAAGTAATGGAGTGTAACAGAAATCTACGCAGAGCACTGGAATTTTTCGCTATAGTTACACTCATATTGACGTTAATTGGAATAATAATTCTTATTATTGTGTACGTTATAAGTCTTAATATTCCAGATATGGTGAGTTATTATCCTTTCAATATTTTTTGTTATCTACTTTTTAAGGTATCGGAAATTTCCATGTGATGTAATTAAAAGCACATAAGTCAGCGAAGAGATGTCTTCTCGCTACATAGTTATTCGGGGGTTCATTTACATAGTGTTAGTTGACAAAAAGAAAGTTTTAGGTTCTTGTCAGTTAGTAACAAATGTAATCACAGTGTATAAGAAATGGCAGTTGGTAACAAAAATAGTGAATAATCTTGAGTAATCAAGACAGTTGACAACTAATTATTTAAATGGTATATAATCATTTGGAAACGACTGATAGGAAACAACAGAACAAAGAAATGAAAGTGCATTACACAAAGCCAAAATCAAAAATCACTTAAGGGACTACATAGAGTTTACTATACCGAAATCCCAGAAAATAAAATTGTCACTAGCTCCACGGTAGTAAGTAAGGCGAGATCAAACTCAACAGAGACTCCAAATAACTTAATATGTAAAGTAAGACCAAGTTTTTCAAAAAGATTTTGCTTTTATCTCATTCATGCAGTGGAAGCTGTAGCAATCTATGAGAAAATACTGGAACTTTATGTTCAGAAATGTTTTATCCAGCCTTATTTACTGCAATGCAGTCCTTTAATTTTTAATTTTGACAATTAATAATCCATTTTCAATTCGTTGTTCTCTTTTTTCCTATCAGTTATTCCCAAATCATTATTTAGTACTTAATTAATTAGTTATCGACCCTCTCTATTATATATTATATATATATATATATAAAGTTCGAGGAAAATTTAACAAGCATTTGTAACGAAGGCAAATAGTAGGTATTTACATCTATCAAAAGAAGCGTTTTAGAGAAATATTGATCAAGGAAAATACTTGTGACTTATTCTTTTACCCGTGTGTTTAATAGTAGTTCAATTATCTCAGATGTTGTGCTTTTACGCGTAGATGGTGTTTGTAAGCCTTAAAACAGTAGAAATCGTCTATAAGAGACTAATGCGCTGACTATTCACAGTAAGTGTGAAACGTGTACCTCATGCATATAACAACAAAGCTTGTGGGTTACGGCTCTAAGTCATTCTGAGTACCAAAAGAAATGTGTAATACAGATTTCAAACTTGTAATTTGGAGGTATACATATTTCAGAAGAATTATATAGATCTGTTTCGTTTCTTCAATTCTCTTCAGATATGCACAGTTTTAGTTTGATAGTGAATACAAAACAGTTGTTCTATTTGGGGTAAAATTAATACACAGAATTCCTTGACAATAGCCCCGTGGATTGTGTTAGTTACTTGCGTAAATAAGTAGATGATTTTTCACCAATCGGTAGTTAACTTACCAAAGTAATTTATGGCTGATAACTGATTTCTTATGAGCAGGTACATTAGTCTTCAGACGTTTGAATGCGATAACCTGAGCAAACGGAAGAATGCCAATACTAGGATTACTTGTGACAGTATTAAAGCTGCTAACTTCTGAACTTAGTAACTCCGATTTGAATGTCAAAGGCTACATTGGTTTCTGGAAAATTAAAATAGGCTTTGTACATCAGTGCTAAAGTGTAGGAAATTTAAGTCTAAGATTTCCTACCATTCGATATCTAACATTTGTAAATTATGCGCGCAAAAGGCGAAGCCGGCCAATACAAAACAAGTTTTTAAAATAATGGGGAACCGGATGAATATATTACTAACCAATACGCATTAGTCAAACTAGTTTGTTCAAAGTAGTTGTCGAATTGTTTACCTTCTTTGATAGTAATTCAACATATCACTTACTCACCAGAACTGATAGGATCCTAATTTTGTTTGGACATTATGATATACTGCATCTAACTTTAGATAAACAAAGACCATTGGTGGATGATTCTATGGTTAGTTTCTGTCTTTACGTACTACTAGTATTACAACCACAATAACTAAATTATTTGATCTGTGATCACTCCTCTGTAGGACTGTTTTAATTTAAATGCTTCTGGCAGCGTATTAGTTGTGAGTAGCGTAAAAGTGATAGAAGTTAAACGTCTCAATAAGCAAATAAAGAAATGTATCTCCACTAATTGTAATTGAATAGGAAAGACCTTACTTTTTTTCCCACTTGTATGTCATTCGCATTTGTCCATAGCGAAAATGACACACTAACAAACAGTAATTGTTTTCCTGTCAAGACATATTTAACTCATCTTTCCTGTAGTAGGAGTAATTAAAATTCATATAGTTAACTTGATGCGAATAAATCATATGACAAATAGGTGGTGTGATTTATCGCGTTGTCATTCGAATTACGTAGAAGAAATTTGCATAAATTACTCTTCCTTTTTACTTAGCACGTGTTACTTTTTTATTTTTATGTCAGTATGTAATGAGAGAAGAACGCCTTATTTGAATTATAGGATTCATTGAGATTAATATACTCTCAAGCAATTATTTAGGCTTATTTCTCAATTTCTCCTTAAATTCTGTTTTACTCCCTACCTCTTTTCACATATACTAGTGCAAACGTTTTTCTTGCTTTTCATACATCTTACTGCTTTGTTTATAATCCAGTTTTCCGTAGTAATTGATGCAGGATCAACATCTTCAAAACTTCATCTATATAAATGGACGGATGAACCGTTTCGATCAAATGGAAAAGTTACAGAAGTGGCTAGTGATAAAGTCTGTAAGTAAATGAATTCATCTTCTCACTACTTATACTTATAACGTTTATGTATTCATTAAACTTGATATAACACGTAGTTGCGTAGAAATCTGTTCTATGCGGGATATTGGGTATGAAGTCAATTTTTTGCAAGTTAGTTTTTTTAATATACTCAAATGAAGAACTCATTTTAGTGGTCATTTGTTTTAAGTAAGTTTCACTGTACACTGGTTAGGTTGAAGTAATTCAGATTAAATTTTAAAAATTCATATTTTTGGAGAGGAAACAAGAACTTCTGCAACTATATATTTCATGATTTTAACTAAGATGTATAATAACGCATTTGAAGTAAAAATGAATACCCCTAGACGAATACAACTTTTATTTTCAAGGGTTAGATTATAGAGATTTGTTTAATTTCAAGGTATATTTCATCATTCCGAAAACTACTGAACACCAGGGAGCACTGGCAAACTGCTTCACTCTATTTCGAGACTCTCCAGCAGCGTGCACCCAAACCGAGTGCTAATTGGTCTCCAACAATTCGCTAACTAATATTGGTTCTTGATGACATTTGCAGTGAAATATGTTTTATTATTTATACCGAATGATGCTTTGGTTTTCATTTGTAGAGGTTGTTCAGGTTCTAGACACTATCTTCATAACCTGTTTTATGTGAATCTGCCATTTACATGTGCTCAAACCATTCTGTTGACTTCCTAAGATGTTTTTATTGGTTTCGACATTAAAGAAAGTTTGATTTACTCCACACTTTTACTTGCAAGCTCGTTTGGGCTTTACTTCTTTTCTGTTATGATAAGTTTAGCCTATGAAGTTTACAAGGGAAATTACTTAGTTTATCTAATTGGGATTGCTAGACAACTCTCGTTCGATGCCTTGTGGACAGTCTCAATTTCATCCTAGTTTTTCCTTCAGATAACAACTGTGAGAGAATTACTATCTGTTTTCTAAAACTTCCTTACTGTTTGTTATGATGGTGTTATATAGTTGTGGAAATATTCTGAGTTTTTCAAATGAAATTTTATTTATTTCACACAATTTGTAAGGTTGAAAAACAATTTAAAGAGTTTTTCCATTGTTTCCAAATTCACATGTTAAATACTGAATGATTCAGATCTAAATCTAACAAAAAATCCTCCTGGAGTCTTGTAATTGGCTTTCTTGATGATCGGCTCTGGTATACAGCTTAGATTTTACTTCCTCCTATCAAGTAGTGTTCCCAATATCTAGTCAGTTCATCCTCCTTCATATATGCTAAGAACAGTTATTTAGTTTATATCCTAATTTTGTGGGCGAAGAATGTTAGTCACTTTCATTTACTGTCCTGAATGTACAATTTAGTGATGTAAACAAAAATAAAGACAAGAGAGATGAATAGTTGTTGTTTTTGCTCACTAACTGTAATCCACTGCATTTTACTTCCTTATTCTTCACGTTTTTCAATCAATGAATTATTAATTACTTGAAGTTCATTGATATTTATTGAAGCCTAGCTGATTAAGTTTTTAGGATTTAATAAAGTATCCTTGTGTATATATGAAATATTCAGTACGTTGTGTTTGTTTAATATGACATCATTATTTATCCGATGAATTGGGAGATTTTTTTCTACATTATTATGGAATTACAATTTATATCTATTATCGTGTGTGCGTGGTTCAGTGTTAGAATGTTTGCCAACCACGCAAGTGACTCAGAGTTTAAATTCCGACTAATGCATTCGTAAACCTCGCTTAGTCGGTCGTAAGCCTGCGAAAGCGGGAAGGTTGGGTTTCTTGCAGTCCCATCCCGTAAAAAAGAATAACATTACTGCTGCCAAAACATCAAAGCTGAAGTTTGAAGCCCTATGCACCACTCAGAATGCAAAGGAATAAAGCTAAAATGTTAAAAATTATTATCATTTACGGTGTTATGAATGCCTTATGTACTGTTAGCTCAATACTTTAATGATTCAGCTTCAATATCCTAATAATAACCGAGTTTCAGACTCACTTCAATTAATACAATTTTATTCCTCATTTCTTGATTTCTAATTGCTTGTTCATTGTCGTTATGACCGTCACAATGGCTGTTTAATCGAGTAATCTTAAACGAATTCAGACCAAAATCAATTTGAATTGGACAACGGAGGACGTTGTACCTTCAAATCCAGACACCACTTATACTTTACATTAAAATCTATTCATTATTGCTGTGTTTTATAACTTGTCTCATGTGGCCCATTTGATAAACGTATATTGAGTCTCTGGGTTCGTGAAGACTGGACTAATTACCTGTGTGATATCGCCACACAGTAACATCAGGAACGGAACCACTGACAGTTAATCAATGTATCCTAAGTCTAAAAATTTTAACAATGAGAAATCACAACCTCACTCGACAACGAAACATTAATTATGATTTCAATTGGAGTTTAATGAAACATATATTTATTTAATTGAATTTTAGATTTTCCCGTTTATTGATTAGACCGAAGTGCTCGGTCTCAGGTTGACATGTCTGTTGGCTTCTTGTGCAGATGCTTCGATGATGTCTGGGCATTTAATTAGAATTTAATTGGTGGATGGTGACTAGCAGTGGATTCCAGGATGTGCATTTCGTCTCATTCTGGACTCGTCAGATGGATGTACCTGCATTCCCCAGTGAGTGATGATGTTCCCACCGAGGCTCTAACCCAGTGCCCATAGTTTCAATCGCTTAAGCGGTATCCACTAGACCACTTGTGCCACGAGAGCCACTTCTTGTGCAACATCATCACTCACTGAGGAATGTAGGTACATCCAGTGACGAGTCCCGAAAAGGCCGAAGTGCGCATCCTGGATTCCACAGCTAATCACCATCCACCAATTAAATTCTGAAACATATATGTTTATACAAGTGGAATTAATCTCTTCATTTATTGTTGTAGTGATTTCATGGGCTCATGACTTTAGATTACGAAGATATATATATATATATAATCTGTTCTGTTTCACTTTATAGTTGTGAGAAAATGAAAAATAACAAAAATTAGCTACTTATTCATTAGACGATGTAAACCATTATGACATAAAACGGACCCACCTAAAATGACTTATGTATGTCATACTCTATACACAAACGTTACAATAACTTCTGTATGAAAGATTATTTTAAAGTCAAATCATATCTGGAAAATATATAAAAAAGATGACGTACACAAGTTGTTTAACAATTTTTAGAAGAAGACAATAAACAGATCTTTGATATTACTGGGGGCTTCAAAAGCACACTAGAACGAACCGTTTGTGAGAAGAAGCTGTAGTCTGTACGACAGTCACAGAGGTTTCGCATATTGCAGTACTTGACATATTTTAAGCAATCTGTCATCCTGTTTCTTCTGTCATGCACCCCCCGCCCCTCCCCCATTACTGTACACCGAATGGAATGCTGGTAAATATATCCACAAAATAACCACAGTGCTCTTTGATTTTCAATAAGCTTTTCTCAATTGCGATACACTCCACCTATTGATAAGTAAATTATCCAGTTAAGTTTTGTGAATAACAGAATAGCATCGTGTTATTCTTCAATATATTTGTAAAAACTCTCTCTACTTTGGATGTAACTCTAATTTATATATGGCATCTGGGTTGATTTTCTGCTGTTGGTTAGCTAGCCCCACGCTCTACATCCCCTCTTTCCAGGGTCAGGACTGAACAGTAGAATAGAAATTTGAAGGAAGTCACTTCCTTCACTTATCTAGACAGTATCGTTTCAACCACAGGCGATACAGATGATGTCAAAACCAAAATGAAAAAGCACGACAGAAGTTCACTAGTCTGAAATCCGTCTAGAAATCTACTGCAATCAGCATTAAGAACAAGATTCGGATTTTTAACACTAATGTCAATTTAGTTAGTGCTTCTATATGGTTCACAGACTTGGCGAGCATGTTACGGAAATCATTTCTAACAGGCTACTGTAGACTTTCACCAGCAGATGCTTTCTCCGGCTCCATATTGAAGATAAGATGGTTAGGCAGAAAGGATAAGAAACAAGGAGGAGTTCCGGTAAAGAAGCAACAAAGAACCCATCGCCCAATAAATATGCTGAAGAGAATGGAGATGGAGTTGACACACGCCAGTGAATGATATCTAACCCCGGGAAGTGCTTCAAATGGAACGTGAATGGGAACCAATGAGCTTGGGCGTCTGTGGGTGACTTGGAAGAGATCGTGTGAGGAGGAGATGATGGTCTATGTATAGTCTTGGAGCCAATTAAGAAGGACTTCAGAAGATAGGATGAAATGGAGATGTACTGTTGAAGCCATATGTTCCATTCGGAACCCAATGGAATAATAAATGGTCATATTAAATGCGTGATAAAGCAGGAGTCAGTGTATGATTGGTAGTGCTAAAAGCTTCGTCTTTTAATAATAATCATAATATGAAATGCTGCAATGCATGTTTAATGTATATGGTGCTTACTTATGAGTTTAGTGAAGACGAATTGATGATAGAAGTGATTTCTCATTGTTGGGCAGCGACTGAATTTTGAAAATATGTTTTGCTCACTTTCAATTTCATGAACTGAATGTATTCACGTTTGAATGGTAGTTGTGGAGGTATAGAATTTCAATGAGTTCTACCAACAGAGTTGGATTGATTTTATAATTAAATGAAAAATATCATTTTTCACAATTATTTTTAATTCCTTGAAGTTCTTTAACTTATGTTCATAATTGACTCCACTTGAAATGTTTACCCAGTGACAGTATATATTTATTGTTCCCCATTATTCTTCCCTGGGCTACTCAAAAAAGACCATATAATACTACGAAGAACATTGAGGGCTGTAAGTAGGGTCAGTGCTATCCCTTTGACTCAACTAACCGACACTGTTGTCAATAGGCATATGAATTCTTGTAAACACTTAGCTAAAGTTATTTTGTCTGATAGTGAACATCCTCTTTATTCACATTTGTTTCCTTGTATCTCTTCGGGTAAGACCAGAAGAAATTTCATAAACATTTATGCTCGTACTACAAAATATAAAAATTCGACCGTACCATATTTGGCACGAGTATTGTGTGAAGAGACAAATATCAGAAAAGAACTTTTACAACTTCTAAATCATTAACTAAACTAAAAAATGTAATGATGCATATTATTGCATGTGTGATTTGTTATATTATTTATTTATTATTCACTATGACCTAGAAATGGTGTATTTTGTTGGGGTTTTTTATTTTTCCTATTAACTATTAATATTTTTAAAATTTTATACATTTATATAATTATAAAAAGAGCTAAACCAATGCAATATGTAAAATGAAACGCTGAAAATTCCATGCTGTAAATTGTTATTGTTGTGGAATAAAGTGATTATTATATATATATATACATATATATATATATGTATATATATAGCACATTATATAAGAATTAGATGAGTTCATATTAGCCGGTATGCCAATTGTATCTAGTGTCATTCGTATTTATTTGTTGGCAATTTTGTTTAGATTTATTAAACTGTAATTTTTCTAATTGTAATTATAGCATTCATGCGTAAAAATATACTTGAATATACTGAAATATATAATAAATAAAATCTCGTATTTTAATGGTTGTTATAATGGTAAATAATAATTTGCTTTCTTGTTCTTGACTTTGGTACTTTCTTCATTTTCATGCTAAATAGACATAAAGTTTAAGTTGCATTGTTCTTCCATAACGAAATATGTCAGTCAGTTGATGAATCTCTTTCATGTTTACACATAAAATTTTGTTTCATTCAAAATTTTTTTCTTTCTGCATGTCTCAAATTTACTGGTGAACAGTCTGTGTAATACATTCATGACAAACAAGATATGCTTATAATGTGAAAAACATCATAATAAAGACCTTTCATTATGTGTATTGAAGAATCATCAATGTCTGAAACAGTTACGAAGATAACTTAAAAGAAGGGATACAGGCAACGTCGAAATATAGCATTCGCCATGATATATGGTCTTTGATATCCAATTGGATTTACAGGTGGTACAATTAAATCAAATTATACCCTCTCTTCTGTATTTGCATAAAACTTTCCACAACGATGGAATGCTTAATTTCTGCGTGAACAATGGAATAAGTGTAGTTACTAAGACATTCATATGCGGGATATGCTTCACACGAGTGCTAGTCTTTTGGGTGGATGAAGATTTTCGGGTACATTCAGGAACAGAATCGGAAATATAAACAGATCTCAGAAAACCATGTTTTGTTACAATTAGTTCCCTTTATGAACTTGAAAAAAGCAATAAGAAGACGCAATTTGTCTCAATCGTGTAATGTATTTGCGCGACACATTTTGAACAATCTGATCACACACAGGCTCGTCATAGAAAAAACATAAATATATAAAAATAATAAAGAGTTCAAAGGTGAGCAAATAGACTTAAATCAAGTTGAAAAGGCATACTGAAGGTGAAGATAACAATGATCCCTAAACCAAAGAAGGGAGGTAATGATGAATCTGTTGTTATAAACGTTTTTGTATTTCCCAATGAATGAAAAAGAAAACGATATTGTTATCTGACGTTTCGCTGTTTAATGCTAATAGCTTTATCAGAGTATTATTAGTTGGAGGATTTCACCATGAGCTGACATCGATTAGAGAACCACTGGAAAACCTGGGAGTACTGGACAGCTGTTTCGTCCTAGTTTGTGACTCTTCACAGTACGCATTCAACGGGGTTCGAACCCAGGACTTTCAGGTTACAAGGGGAGCTGGTAGACTATTAAGCCACTGGGACCCGATCCAATGGCCCATGAATTCTAACTTCTGTCAATCTTCTAACCTATCAAACAAAATATCTACAAAGCAATACTTGAAAGTATTATTAAACCAGAATTTACAAAACCTCAGCTTATATATAACAACTTTATCATGGTTCATCAGCATGCGGTAATTTTTAGGTTGTCAAGTTGGTCAGTTGGTGGAGATAACCAAACCAAGTGTAGATGGTTGGGTTTGACAAGCGTACAAAATTATAAAATCAATATGTATATAATTAAAATGCCTATCACATTCGTGTTGATTTTGTCATTTCATGGGGATGGGAATGTTGTAACCAGGTCAAATTCTGTTTTAGTTCATCATTCTTATTCAGAAAATTTGGATTTCATTTGATATGAAGTGCTTCTGATATCAGACGTTCTTTGCGACTTCTGAAATTTTTCTGGATTATTTCAGTATTGTCAAAATCAATTTTCTGACCTGATTCTATAGCATGTAGACCTATGGCTGATGATTTTTCAAGCTTTTTTATTTTATTGACTGGATCTCTCGGTGGTCGAACAGATGCTCTACGATGTCTATTTCTTCTGTTCTTGATTTGTCCTGATGTTTGTCCGATGTATTGGAAGCATTTTATTTTGTAGACACAATTCGATTGTGAATTCTTTGGAATTTGGTCTTTTACATGGACAAGGTTGCCTTGTAATGTGTCTGATGTTTTGAAGAAAACTCTAATATCGTGCTAATTGAGTACTCTTCTAATATTGTCTGATGCTTTCGATCCATATGGATTGACAATGGTTGAGATCGGTAAGAAGATATAACAATTTAGCGTTAACAACACTGATATTAAATTTAGGCTGTTCATGTTACATTAATTGGTTTTCACTATCAATCTAATTGTTTCTCTCTTATTACGCTGTCACTAACTAATTCAGTATGCTTTTACGCATCATTTCATATGTTCATTAACTAAGTCCTGTTCATAAAATTTTATTTATTTAGCTCCAGGAATATCAAATTACGTTGATGATGCAACAGAAGCCTATACAGCAATGAAACCGAAATTGGATAAATTAACATCCAGTTTGTCTAATAAACAGAAACAAAACACACCAGTGTATTTAGCTGCAACGGCTGGTATGCGATTAAAGCTGTAAGCTAAACATTCTTTATCAAATTAATTCACCTGGTAATTTTTTATCTTTTAATAATGATCAAAATTTATCTATTTGTAATGCTGAATCATTGGTAGATTTATTTTCTTTGTATTTTCTACATTTTTGGCATTGGCGAGATATCTCAGTTGATTTTTCTATTCTAGAAAGAAATTTTTACGTTAACTCACTCGTGTTTTCAGTGGTTCTTATTTTCACTCAAACCTTACAAAAATTATGCATACAATACTGTGTACGCTAACGTGCACAATGTATTTTTGTTTACGATAAAATCATTATACTGAGCAAACTATTGTACTAAACAAAATCAACAGAAATCGTCGTAGTTGTCATCAAAAAACGAAAAAGTCACAAGATCACACAAGGATATACACAAGGTAACATGGATTTCGTCTGACGGACACACCAAAAACCAGATAGACTTCATCTCAATGCTGCTCAAGAAAGTGGAAACGCAGCCTGCCGGACACAAAGTTAAGAAGGCGAGCAGAAGTGGGCTCAGATCGACATCTAGTTCAAGGTACGTTCAAGGTCAAGCTGGAATCCTTTAGAACAACTGGAAGCAGGCCACAATTCACATCCAAGACCCAGAAACTGAAGAACGAAACTACAAAGGAAACCTTCACTGCAGATATCAGAGCAAAGTCGGAGATTTTACGTGGCATCACTGAGGAAACCTGGGTGGAAGAACATTGGAACTCTCTGAAAGCGATATTCAAGGAGACGTGTACAACTGTTCTAAGAAGAAGGAAGAGACAAGACAAGAAGTGGCTGTCAACGGATACCTGGAAGCTAATCGAGGAGAGGAGGATGGTGATGACTCAATGCAGAGATGGACAACAGAAGGAGAAGCCGAGCTCAATGTACACTGCGCTGAATGAGGAAGTGAAGACGAGGGATAGCAAAGACAAAAGAGAATTCTACGCCTCAGAATATTATAACACATAACCAGGTCTATATCCGAGAAGAGATCAGCTCAGATGATGAAACCAATAAAAGATGTTCAAGGGAACCTGATGACTAAAGAACAGAGTAAAAAAATGGGCTGATCACTTTAAAGGACTCTTGAATCGACCATCACCTGCAACTCACCCAGAAATGACACCAAGAGCCCGCACGGAAATGCCTGCCAGTGGACACCAATCCTCCAACAAAAGAAGAAATCTTTAATGCGATCAAGCTACTGAAAGCCAGCTGGGAAGCCACCAGGACCAGACAGAATCCCCCCCCCGAAGCGCTGAAAACGGACCCAGAGACTTCCGCAGATGTACTCACGTCATTACTGCAAAGGGTTTGGAAGGAAGGAGGGGTACCTACCGATTGGAAGAAAGGCTGGCCACCTTGTCAAGCTACCGAAGAAGAGCGACTTAGGCATCTGCAAGAACTGGCGTGGAATCATGCTCTTGTCCAACCCAAGCGAAATACTGAGTCACATCATCCTGGAGAGAATAAAGCATGCACTGGATACAGAACTCCGCCAACCGGAACAAGCTGGATTCAGAAAAGGCGAATCGTGTGCTGATCAAATTGTAACTCTACGCATAGTCATCGAAAAAAGCGTAGGATGGCAGTCAAACCTCTACCTCAACTTCATCGACTTCGAAAAGGCCTTCAACAGTGCAGCGTTGACCGAGAAGCAATTTGGAAACTGCTTCAACAATATGGCGTGCAGTGCCCAAATCTTTATCAGCCTCATTCAACAGCTGGCTATATTGACAATGTCACGTGTCAGATGACCCACAACAGAAACCTCAGCGAGGCGTTCGAAGTGAATACAGGAGTAAGACAAGCTGACTGCCTATTGTCACCGATAATATTCTTAATTGTGGTGGACTGGATTATGCGTTATACTGTGCACAGGGACCGAGAAGACAGGAATCTGCTGGACCACCTATAAGAAGACTCTAGAAGATCTGGATTTCGCAGATAATTTATGTTTAATGTCACATAAACTTGAGGACCTGCAGGCGCAAACCAAGAAACTGGCGAAAGAAGAAGGCAGCAAAGACAGGACTCGAGGTGAACATAGAGAAGACGGAGGTGGTGAAGATAACCAATGAACCGCAACAACAACCAGCACCAATCACCATCAACGGGAGTGATTTGACAGAGGTCAATTCCTTCACTTATCTAGGTGGCATCGTTTCAACTACAGGCGGAACGGATGGAAATATCAAAGCCAACCAGCCAGAATAGGAAAGGCAAGATACGTATTCAGACTTTCATCAACAGCTGTCTTCGCTCCATACTGAAGATCAAATGGCCAACCAGAAAGAATTAGCAACAAGAAACTCTGGCAACAAACCAACCAAGAGCCGATCGCACAACAAATATGTAGGAGAAAATGGAGATGGATCGGGCATATATTGAGGTAACCATCGAATGATATCGCGCGCAATGCAGGCCATCGCCCGAGTGGAATACCAATGGGAAGCAAAGAGTGGGTCGTCGGTATCAGGGTGACATGGAGGAGATCGTGTGAGGAGGAGATGAGAGATTTTTGGCAATCGTGGACCCAGATGAAAAGGATGGCCGAAAATAGAGGAAAGTGGGGATATATTGTTGAAGCTTTTTGTTCCGCTGTGAACTCAAAAGGATAATGATATCATGGTAGATTATATGTGCTCGCGAACAAATAATTTCAAATCATTTGTCAGCATTTTCATAATAGAGTAAGATAAAGCTATTTTAATATTGGCTGCGATTTTAAGTTATTAGTGTAGCAATTTTAGTTCAAACGAGGCATTTGGTTGAGGTGACACGCTAAGTGAAGGTAAGACAAAGAAAATCTGCCTGTAGCTTTTTTTCCGCTTCATTCATTTTCACAGATTCTTCTCAACCCATGGTCATTCATTTTATTGAATAAATATTGACTTGTATGTCTGTATGTTAATCATGAATTATATTGCCATAAGTTCTTTTAGTTTATTTGATTAAGAAGAGATTTTTATTTTTATTGTCTTAGATGGAAAGAAAACTGTATATGCTGAAACTTATGGTGTCTTCTGGTATATAAGTTGTGACAAAATAAGGCAAGACTATATATATTATATATATATATATAAACAAGCCAGTTTCTGCTTTGGTACTTCATATTTGAAAATGATTTAACTAAAATGTTTAAGTTATGTTACGGAAATGAACTTTAGCACAAAAGTTACGTACCTGCTCTAAGGACACAAAATTTGATGGTAGACGTAATAGCCTGGGAAGTAGTTGTAATAGAAAGATTATTTTGAAAATTCCTCTTGAAAGATCTAACCACAATATTTATGCTTATTTTGACGTTTCAACTAACTTTGTCCGTTTTTCTCCTATACTCTATATCATTGTTGTTGTAGGATATGATTTTGTCGAAGTGCATCAAGGTTATTCTTACCTTGGAATATCTGTGGGAGGCATTGGTGTATGATTCTTGTGGTCAGAGTTTTTGATCCCACCTTGTTGAAAATATCCTACTTTATTCTAAACTTCTTCTTACACTTGAATATCGGTTAAGTAATTTTGTTCTACAGTGCTAGAAACCTATATTGCGTTTTGATGTTATTATTGTTGAATAGAACCGCACGCAGATTCCACCTACAAACAATCGTCTTTTTGCTGTCTTTGGAACGTTCTATGGCTGCGTTTCTCAAAGACGCAAAGATGGATTCTCTGCGTTAAAAAATATATCAATTTTCCAGTCTTCATTCATTCATTGCAAGTGAACATTATTTTACAGTCTCAATAAGATGTATAGGAATTTATTTGTCTATAAAAAATAACTAAACAGACTCTGTTGTTTCTTAAAATCGTTGACAAGTCTATAGACAATCCTTTTGTAAATTATATTTAATGACTTACTAAAGGTAACTTTGAACTAAGGATGATAGCTGCACCTTACTGACTAGTAAATCATGCCAACCTTTGGATGTGCTGATATCATTTCCTGATAACAACTGCGCTGAAACTACTCAGTTTCCTTTAAAAAAATTTGAATTGCAATATAAGTGATTGAGGCACCAAAATGAACAGATTTATCAGACTGAAATTCAGACAAAATACTAATCTTTACTCGTAAATACATACCAGATACACCGTAAGAGTGCTTGAACCAAACTTCTCTAAGTGATAGATAAGCCTGAAGTACTACTTACACAGTAATATAGGTTACCCATACCACTTCCTACTCTATTACGTCCGTCATTAAATTTCTCTTTTTTCAGAGCAGGTACCAATAGATTGTGATGAGACATGATAGCTATAATCAAAAATATGCGTCAGTACTTAGAAGGTCTTATCTATTTTCTGCCTTCGATCTTTTCTGACACACTGGCTTTCCGTGTTTTTGTCAAGAACTCAGAACCAGAGTCCACCGACTCTCCGGTATCGCATAATAATATGGCAGCAAAGGAAAACCAGAGTTGAGAATGAATCACTAGGCCTCTGACTTGGCAGCTGAACATTTAGGTACTTATCTTATATTCTGATGGACGTAGGTTCGAATAATCTTTCGATTCTGAATATGTGTGTTGCTGAAGAATAAAAACAAAGACGAAATAGCTATTTAACACAACTCGATTTGGAATTGCAATCCACCTAATGTCAGTTCCTATGAAAGTAATCAGTCTTTAGCCCCCGCCCTTAAGGAAAACGCAAATACACGAACCAAACATGCATTAATTACTTTTCATTTGGAGGATATTGCATTTTAACTTTTGACTGTTTGTAAATGATTGAAGCGAAACAAACATATTTCGTTTTGTAATTTTTATTATTCCTGATTTGTTCAGATTTGTTACGGCAACGAAATAATTTCGTGTAGATTATGTTTAGATTGTTATATCACCAATTTCATTATGAATATGTAAATACTAACAATAAATCACAGGAGAATAAATTAGGCAAAACAATTCTATGTTATTATTATTGTCACAAATTAAATTACACTTAAGTCCACATTCGATTAATGGTCTTCACCGAGTTACAAGAATAACACATGGTATATCATTGAATAACATTAGATAATATCTACGTTCTCATTTTACTTCTCATAAATCTTAATTACTTTTGTCGTTTAGATTACATTAATTGACTCATGTCAAATTTATCATGTTTTTCTCTTTTCCATAAATAGGAATTCCTAGCTAGAATTCATATCTGTGTATATGCTATCTAGTACATATAATTCATCAGATTCTATCTATCTGTTGTACATAGTCCAATAAAATACATGATTACATTTAATCGATGGAAATGAAAATTACACAGACTACTATATATATATATATATATATATATATATTACTAGGAGTTCGTTGAAAAAAGAGGCACTGAAACAAAATGTGATCTCCTAGTGTGTGTGTGTAGTAAATTATTTTCTTTCATGTTAAGTTTTATTACATATCGACACCAGCTAAATTATTAGAGAATGTTATCCAACAACTTCCCGGTCCCTCTGAGGTTTTTAAATGATACGGTCTTGTTATGTGACTACTTTGGAGTCAATTGCTTTTCTGCACGCTAACTAATTAGACAGAAATTCTCCTTATTATTCATATTATTGTTTCAACCTCCTAATTAAAATGTATTAATAGCACATCCAATGAATAGTCTTCTCATTGAACGTTTAGTTCCTCCCTTATTTATGTTTTGTCAGAATTAAAAAGCTATGTTACTTACAAACAACAAAGTCTCATAACATATTTTCCGCTAAATTACCACAGTATTTTTTCAGTCCAGCAAATCAGTTTCTGTAGGACACCTTGAAATGGAGTAAATTGATGTATGCATTCATTTGCATGTGTATATTTATTCCAGCAAATATCTTTCTGCTTGTGACAGGATTTCTCTTCATTTCTCCCTATAAAATACAAAGTTAGTCTACTATTCTCCAAGAAATGCTAATCAGTGCAAAAGCGTAGTCTTCATTGCTAACTTCAACCTATCGACCAAGTTCTTGATATTTTCATCCAGTTACATTAAACAACAATCTGGTGTATTGTGTTTAGTATTATTTGATAAAAATTATTCAATTAAAAATTCCTTTTTGGCTAAAGTCATACTAACTTAAAAATCTATGGAAATATGATTATCTTTACTCAAAATATAAATAAAAATTAACCACAGGAATTTGTCCACATTTATAGTAGGAATAAAGTCGAAAATGTACAATGTACAAAATGAGAATAATAGCTCTAGTAATAATAACAGTGGGTTCGATTCAAACAGTACTGTCGATACAGTCTGGAAATTTTAGCAAGTTATAGAGTATTGAACCTAATGTTCTGTTGATATAGCATGGTGAAGGAAAAAACAAAGAAAATAACGATTATTACAGAGCCTAAATGATGTTTACACTAAAGAGAAAACAATCAAAACAAATGAGAGGATTACAAATATAAGAAGAGTAATAATAGTAAAGCTTGGTGTCATAAGCGTGGAGAAAGTTGTTTAATTTTAGTGGTAAGAAGGTTAGTTAGTTAGGAAAGATAATAATACAAATTCATGAATATATAGTTTCTACTGAAGGCCAGGGCAGTAGTGGTCGGGCAGCTTCAAAGTTATACACAAAAGCAGTTATATTAAGAAAACAGAGAGCTGTACGTGTAGCTTTTTCTAAAAGACACCTAATGAAAGTCAGTTTTGGTCTCTTCTCACCTTATTGATAAAATACTTGGCAGAAAGTGGCCACAAATAGAGTTACTTTAAAATCCATCCTCTTTAAACTAAGTGATATATTCACTTTCGAGTATATTCATATAAACAGATGATAAGAATACAAAAAAAAACATATCCCATATATTATTATCTTCATTCTAAGTATGTGGTTGCGGAAAACCTTAAAGTTGACGAATTTAATTATTTAGGTCTGTACAAATAGCGAAATCATAGAGTCACAACTGTTCAGGTAGTCTGTTCACACTTTTCTGGTCTTAAGTGCTTATTGAAATTCGATGGTTGAATTTTCGGTGATAAAGCACTGTGATTTTCTTCTTTACACGCTAATAGAATGTGTTTCATTAGATAGAATAAAATTTTGTGGCATGTTAAATTCATATTTCAATTAGTCACTGTTGAAATACTTAAGAGAGCTCCAGTACGAATCGTTTTGATTCACTACATAAATCAAGTATTATTCAAAGATAAACTTAATTCACTAATAAAACATTCATTTCTCATTAATTTTATGTGTATTATTTCATCCTATTTCTAGAATTGAAGATCCTTTAGGCAGTTTAGATTTATTTTCAGTAATTCGGCAGTATTTATTACATTCTGGATTACAAATCAAAACACCAAATGAACGTATACGGTTATTGTATGGGTCTGAAGAAGGTCTTTATGGTTGGGTGTCCGTCAATAATATTTTAGGTAATATACAAGAGGTAAGTATGAAATATTAATCTTTTATGTAAATATTGCATAAAAAGCTGATATCTATGCACTACTCTAAGTTGAAGAATCTTCGATTATTTTCTACAGTTAAACGAACTCAGAATTTATTTCGTCACCTACCGTATCATTCAGTACATGTAATACTATGTAATACATGATTCTCTCAAACTTTCATAATCAGATTAGAAATTATGTATCTGTTACTGAGATGAAGAAATTAATGAGCTAAGTATCAAAAGTCTTATAGGAAAATGAACATCTTTTTCATCCTTCCTGTAAAGTAAAATATATATTCTTCTCTTTAGTACTAAAAGCAATTTTCTAAATTTATTCACCACGACACTATTTCTATGAATATTCATAAGTTAAGTGCATTTTTTATATAGACAGTATGTTTGTTGTCTCTACTGTGCTTCTGATGTGAGTGTTACGTAATTTTATTTTATAAGACTTTTATGATAAGAAAATTTATCTTTCATGGGTTGTACGATGTAACTTTGAATATATTATGATATTATTTTACGGTATTTCTCAGTGAAATGCAGAGGAGATGAGTGACATGTGTAACATGTTATTGAAGTAACCTAAAAATTTTTATAATAGATTTAAAATAAAAATTCACAATTGGTGAATTAGATTAGTAACAACTTCCAGATCTTTTCAGCTTTAAATTTCATCTACAATCATCTTTATTTTAGCTTCTGAATTTTAGAATTCACTTTATGATTATTTTGTAAATTTTAGGGGAAACGTACACTACCTACTGATACCGTTGGCTCTTTGGACCTTGGTGGAGCTAGTACGCAAATAGCATTTATCCCTGATTCTTATCCTAATGCTCCAAAGGAATTATTAGATTTTTATCCACTTAGATTGTATGGAAATGATTTCTTGGTATACAGTCATAGCTTCTTATGCTATGGAAAATCTGAATTTCAAAGGCGTTTAATGACTTCAATAGCAGTAAGTTATCACACTTGATAATATCTACGTGAAATAAAAGATTTTACATTTATCTACCATATATAGCCTTCCTTGGAATAACACTGTATAAAACTGATGTTTGTGTAATTTTTTGAGTAAACGACAACATATTCCTTAGTTTTATTTTTCGTTTGCCAAGCAGTCGAAGCCCCGAAATGGTAATCCATCAAAACTAAAATCTGTGAAAACCTCTGTGAAAAAAAATTTCAGTGTAGTGAATTGGAAAATTATTTTCTTTTTTGCTATTTGATAAGTAGTGACTAGCATTGGAATCCAGGATGCTCATTTCGTCTATCAAGTATCAAACACCATGGTTGGTCGTCAGACATCGTCAAAGCATGCGTACTAGGAGCTTCTATTTCATCAGGAAGTACAAATTAAATTAAACAAAATACTGCTTTCTTTTTTCTTGAATTAGGGGTACTGGGCTACCAGCAGCACCAAACACTTTCTATGTGGAAATGTAGACATGTATCAAATCACTTTTAAAAAAGACACTTCATCATATAAACGTGGAATTCATACTTGAAAACTATTTCTTTCAAGATCTACAAATAGATAACCATGTAACTAAGGAAAACAAAACACGTAGTTCAGCGAAGAGTCTCTTTTCGGCGAATTCATTTTCTTAGCTGTACAATCGCAAATATATATGTGTTATTTTGTATGTATGTGTACATTAAGTTTGTCAAACAAAAATACAATTGGTTATGGTTACTTTAACTAAACAGGTGAAGATTGGTAATACAAAATCAGTCAAGAAAATTAGGTGTTAATGAAATTAGGGTAGCATCAAAGGTGATGAGTTGTCACAAAAAGTTGTTAAAAAGGAGTTACGTTATAATTTGAATAGGTTGATGATTGATTTTTACTCAGGATACACATAAGAACAAAGTAGAGAATACGAGATTACGTAAGAGTTCTAAATGAATACATGAGCGATTAAAGAAACAGGCAAACAAATAAAATTAAGTCATCAAAAATCAAGAAAGTTGTTACCATGATAGTAAAAGTGGTTGAGTAATTCTCTTTTGTATGCACAGCTCCGGTTTTCTATGTGAATGGCCAGAGCTTCAGCGATACAAATAAGACGAAACTGTGTTGCCTTTGATAGGTTGTTCTTCACTCTGCAGATTACTTTGAAGGAGGCGTTTGCTGAGATGGAATGATCAGTGTTAAACAGGTATTCAATTATCGCACTCCTTATAGCACCACTATTGCCTTTTCGCAACCATGCTGGACAGTATTCTTGAATCCTCTGCTGACAGCCTAAAATTCGGTTACAAACGTGGTTTTGTCTACAGTGTGAAATTGATTTGATGGGTGATATCTTTCTTCATTTCTAATGTTTACTTTTTCTTTGCCTGTTTTTATGACTTAGAGTATTATTTCATATCAGAGGCTATTATCAGTGTTGTGTACCACCTGTAATTCGAAATAGTCACAAAACATAAAAATAACATATTTCAACCTAAATACTAAATTGAAAAGTATTTATAAGCAGGGAAATGTAAAGTCTAGTGAGAGTGAGTACCAAACACTAGTTTATATTCTATTAGATTCAACTTGAAGAGGAAATTGTAGAAACTAATGTTAACCTAAAGGAATACGTAGCTTGTCAATGAACTAGTCTCCAAGCAATATAGCTTCTATTGGGAGAGTTTTATGGCATTTGGATAAAGCCACCAAGCAATGCCAATATTTTTCCCCCTTCATTATCTCTAAAACACTATTAATGCTGACCTACTGTTGCATATGAATGTAATTTTGGATGAAGATCAGACTGTCGCTTCTATTCAGATATATATCCTTCAGGCTGTGCTGCGAGAAAAGAGTTAACATCACTTTTTCCCACCTAAGTTGTGACTTTTACTTCAAATATATTTAAGTGAAATGCTCAATATGTCGTCAAACCTCATGATAAAATGTTCATGATCAAATACTAAAACGTTTTCATTCTTCTATTCAATTATACAATTTTCTTATTATTCCATGTTTAATGAACTATATATACATATATATAATAGTAGTTTGAATGTATGAAAACTTCTACTCTCTGTTGAACCTCAGATACTGACTATATCTTGTTTCAATATAAAATGAATTAAAACTTCTTTCTTTTGAATGAGGAAACACCTGTTATGCAGTTTATAACTTGCAATAATAACTTTAACATTCTATGGATAATTAAAATTTGATTACAAATAAACTCTAGAAAAAGAATAAAATGTTCGTTGTCTCTCATGTTTGGAAGATGATCATTTATTAGAGAGAATCAACGGCAAAGATTTCATACTTTTTTGTACTCGAAAATCATTTACCTGCTAGTAAAAATTTATTCTGGAAATTGATTTATTAAAATATATTTTTTTGTAAAAATAAATGATTACAGGCCAGATCAAAGAAAACGTTTGAAATCCCTAATCCTTGTCTTCTACGAGGTTACAAAACGGAAAAGTATAATGCAAGTGATTGGTTCACTGGAAGTTGCATGACAGGCAATTATGTGACAAAAACATTTCACGATGAAATTTTTCAACCCTCTGTAAGTCATTACTTAATTCATGTATTAAGTAATGATCTAAATATCTCTAAAATAACTAAATGACCAAAATCTGATATTCCTCGATAAAATTTATTAATGTATTTTTAATAGTTTGGAATCTGTTTGCTTCGATATTTGTTTATTCCTAACTATAAGGTTACACGTGTTCAAATCAAAATAAAACCCAAAATCTCTCATCAAGTATTTTATGGTTGTATCAAGCGTAGAAAATCAGTTAATAGAAGTATCCTGAAATGACAAATAAGATTAGTATTTCAGGTAGACGGCTATGGTGCTTTCGTGTTCTCTCTGTTGGTTGGTTTATTTTTAAATTTTCTATAGTTTGGTTTGTAAAGATTAGTTATGTTTTACGAGTTGATCACGGACTGATATCAGTTAGAGAACCATTGAAAACGAGGGAGTACTGGACAGCTGCTGTTTCATCCTAGTTTGGGAATCATCGGAAGTACGCACCCACTGGGATTCGAACCCAGGACCTTCCGGTTACAAGGCAAGCTCGTATACCATTCAGCCACTGGGACCCGATTCAATGGCTCATGAATTCTAACTTCTACCAATTCGTGATTTTAGCGCGACCCCAACTATTGTCGTTGGTGGGACATCCATCCACACACGTGACTTCTAATTGGACCTCACTGGTCACGACTTCTCCCTAGAACTGCAGGAAGCTCCAACCTGTAGCAAGTCACTAGCGAGCATCAGAATAATTTCCTATAGTTTGGTTTGTAAGACATGTAAAACATAACTAATCCTTACAAACCAAACTATAGGAAATTATTCTGATGCTCGCTAGTGACTTGCTACAGGTTGGAGCTTCCTGGAGTTCCAGTGAGAAGTCGTGACCAGTGAGGTGGGTGCGTACTGCCGATTATTTTTAAATGTTTGATTAGTCTTTTGGAAAACTTCAAATTGAAGTCAACCATGTTCAGAAGGACAGTGAATGATTCCTAACTAAACTTATCCATCTTGAAGAACAAAAGAAAAACGCTTAGAAAGACAAGGTTTACTTGTCTTAAGTTTCATGTTGGTTGACACTCGTCTGGATAAAACGTTTCTAAACAGCGAGTTCAAGTTTCTCCCTATGGATTTCTAGAGTTTTATGATCATAAAGATGTTAACGATTTTCTTCCGATTGACCTGATCTTATTGCAATGAAGTCTCCACTGAAGCTGCATGTCCATAAGTAATAATATGCTCTAAAATTGGACGGTTGAGTTTTACACATTCGCCTTTCGACAGCTATACTGAATGGTGTCTGCTATTTGGTATGCAATGAGGTGGGTGATTCTGGATTCACACAGTAATGCATAGTACTTGCAGTTTATTTCCCTATTTCTAAAAATCGTGTACAAATCTGCGTGTTTTCTTCAAATTGTTCTGGTTTCTAGAAATTTTGCACGGCATGACTAATAAAAATCTGTGGTTTCAAACAGAGAGGTTATTTAAATTTCTATATCTGCTTAGTGCTTTATTCTTCATTCTTTTAGGCTATACGTTAAACAGTTATGAAAGGGTACAAACAGATTCACTAAAAGAATACATTTCGCATACCAGATTATTTTCTATTAGAAAATCTAAATTGAATGATGATTTCAAACTTCATTTCTTTGTTTGTCTTCCGTCTTAGTATATGAAAGAATTTTCCTTCGAGGGTACAGGTGAACCTGACGAGTGTATTCAACATATGGAAAGACATTTTAAAAATGACTGTAATTACTCCTTATGTTCATTTAACAACGTTTATCAGCCACGTCCTTCAGGAAAATTTTTAGTAAGTTTTATTGTAAATTATATCAAAGTGAATGGTGAAATGATTTTGTGATTATCTTGCTACATCAATTAACATGTTACATATATTTAAACCAAGTTCACTTTTAACAGTTTGAAAAAATTTGGGCATTAGGTATATGATATTCATTATAATAAATTTTTTTGTATTTCCCAACGAATATCAATTAACATGCTTACGTAATTTTGTATAAATGCCAGTCACTTTCTGAATTATAGCAAAGTAATTTACAGAACAAAATATATATGTTTAAAATTTAATCATCAATATTACAAAGAATATTTAAAGATGTACTTTTTGTTCACTTGGTTTTCTAAATTATAAATGAAATATGCTCTCCGTAGAGTAACCAGAACAAGATGATTTGTAAGCCGACTATTGTTTTCGATAAGTTCTTCGCGTACTTCAGTTACAAATCCAAGAATACAAATAGCCAGTGAAGGCAAATGAAAATTATGCCATAAAATTTATTGGGGTACATGTATAAGAGTTAGTTAACATTGCCGTTTGAATGTATATAAAATGAACAGTCATTTAGGACGTAAGATAAAGTGTGAATAGACAACTGAGTGACATTCTAGTGTATTTATAGTTAACAGAATATAAGTTTCATTGGGAGGAGTGTTAAGTTATATTCATTGTTGTGAGAGAAATATGAATAATACAAAGTATATACAAACCAATGAGGTACATTAAGCGTAAGTTCAGCGACAGACAGATAACAAGTGTAATGATAAAATAAAGTGGTTAAAATTGTTAACTGTAATCAAATACTAGAAACATCATAAGCTCATTGTAAATCAGAAAGTTTCACAAATAATAATAATGAGTGAAGTAAACTAAGTGAAAAAGAATGAGAAGGACATAATATGACATGAAAATTTCGGATGATTATATCCTTGATGACTTTATAGTAGATCAGGGTAAACACTGTTGGACGCTCATCTTACCGTTTCCTATTCACGTTCCACTTGAGGGCCTCTCAGTCAATGCCACTCAACAATCACCAGAGCGTTTGGTGACGCAATAAGTCTCTGAACCATATGGAAAAACTGACTTGATGTTAGTGTTGAAAATCCGAATCTTGTCCTTCGTCCAGATTACAGCAGATTTCCAGATTGATTTTGCAGCAGTGAATTTTTGTTATGCTTTCCCGAACCTGCCTTTGACCTCCTTATCCCTCCCGCTTTTAATTGAAACGATGCTTCCTAGATATGTGAAGGAAGTGACCTCTTTCAAGTTTCCTCCGTTCACAGTGATTGGTGTTGGTTGTTGTTGATGTTGTTTGGTTATCTTCGTCATCTCCATTTTCTCTATATGCACCTCGAGTCCTGTCTTTGCTGCTTGACTTTTCTCTCAGTTTGTTGGTTTTTACCTGCACGACTTCAAGTTTGTATGACATCAGACATATATCATCCGCGAAGTCCAGATCTTCTGCAGCTTTCTTATCGGTTCAGCGTATTCCTGTCTTCTCCCTCCCCACGTAGAGCTGCATAATCTAGTCTACCACAATCAGGAATATCATCGCTGATAACAGGCATCATTTTCTTCCTCCTGTATTCACTTCATACCCCTCCCCCCCCCCGAGTTTTTTGTTGCGGAGTACCTGATACGTGACATTGTCATGTATACTTAATAACTCAATTAAGTTTTTGATCGGCATCAGAATTAAGTAACCATAAATTTTAGTACAGTCTTAATAGCGGTAATTTATTCTGCCTTTTTGTATCGAAGTTTCCTTTTGTGAATCTGAACAAATTCACATTTATTACTGAAATTATTTAGACCAGGTTTACCGTCCCAACTTCCTAGGGTGGATGATTGTAATTTCATATCAAGTTCTTGATGTTGCCAGTAACCTATGTATAGGCTAAGTAAACTGAACAACAAATAATAGAGTGATGTATACCAAATAGTTTCATCTCCTTCCAATCCTTATGGTTAGAATTAACAAGACAATATTTAACAGGATAATTAGTGGAATGGTACTGAAATGACAGATAATTACCACTCATCATTTTCAAAAAGCCTCGGTATAAATGATGACCTGGTAAGCAACTGAGTCTCGTAACCTAGGTGGTAAATCTATAAGCCGATAACTTGGGTTATGGGCAAAATTTATTTTGATAAAGTCTCACAGTGTTGAACAGTAATATTTACTGATGACGTTTCGAGCACAATTTATTGCTCATAATCATATCAAGGTAATCACACAACTTTCTAACTTCGTTTATATAATTCCATTATTTTCCATCGCTTGATTTGATTGGTAGTAGTATTTTCTGTATTTCCGGTATGAGTGATGAGTCATTCCTATTGCACGTGTTGGGTGTGAACCAGGATTCAATATCCGATCTCTCTCTCCACCTGCCTATATTACTTTTTAGAATTTTAACCCTCTCTCACTCTATTGTATGGTTGTGTATTAATGCATGCATTGCAATTGCTGAGCTTTTCTCTAAATTACTTATCTTCTCGGGGCCAACCATTCTTACCTTAGCTAAATTCTTATTTTCCGACAATCTGACTACCCCCGATCTACTAGTTTGACCTATGTAGTTGACCTCACAGTCATTGCAGGGTATTTTGTAAATTATATTATTTTGTCTAATTGGGTTAACTAGGTCCTTTAACCTATAGAGCTTGTCCATGAGTGAGTTCGTAAGTTTAAATGCCACTCTAATTCCTGCTCTATTAAGAATACTACCTAGGGTCTCAGATGTCCCCTCCTTATATGATAAAACCGTCGATGCCCCATATTTCTTCTTATTTGGGTTATCATTGTTAGTTTCATTGTTATTTTTATTTTGCTTTTGGCCTTTTCTGATCTTCTTAATGAATTCTATAGGATAGTTATTCGATACCAACGCTTCTTCTATCTGTTTTATTTCATCATTTAGGTCTTTTCTTGGACTACTTAGTGCTACTGCTCGGTTTGTTAAACACTTAACTAAGCCTGCCTTAACAGTTAAAGGATGAAACGAATTGAAATCTAAATATCTATTAGAATGCGTTGGTTTTCTATAAACACTAGTGTGTAGTTTGCCTTCTTCTATTCGTTTTATTTTACAATCTAACGTCGCTAATTCTCCTTGTTCATTTTCGGCTTCAAATGTGAATTTTATTCCCTCCACTAGTGAGTTTATGTGTGTTAAGAAGCTAGAGATATGTTCTGTTTCTAATACTGTGAAAGTGTCAACCACATGTCTCCAGCATATTTTTGGAGTAGGATGAAATGTAATCAGAGTAATATTTTCCCAGCTGTCTATAAAGATATCTACTAGGATAGGGGATATTGGTGATCTCATCGCTACACCATCTGTTTGTTGATATATTTTGCCTTGGAATTTAAAGATAGTACATGTGAGGCATAACTGAATTCCTGAAATAATTTCTTCACTGGCAGCTTCGTCCTGTGAGTGAGTTCAGGATCTGCAGTTAGTTTATTTTTAACTGCTTCTGATGCCATATTGATTGGAATATTAGTATAAAGACTAGTTATACCAAAACTACTATTGTTTTATCATTCTCTAGTTGAATGTCATTTAGTTTATTTTCAATGTCATATGAATTAGTTAGTCTAGAGTTTGAACGATTTCTAATGGAACATAATATTGGAGCTGAGTGTTTCGATAATTTATAAGTAGGGGTATTGCTGAAATCTACTATTAGTCGTATGGGGTAATCTGGCTTATGCATTTTAATAGTACCATAAATTCTAATGGCATTATTAATTTTAGGCATTAAATTAAACCATTTAGACTCACCCAGTGACGGCTTCATTCTGAGAATTAAACCCGCTGTAAATTTCTTAACCTTATTCATTATTGTATCTACAGGCTTCTTAATTACCTCATAAAGATCCGTCTCAATAATGTCAGTAGAATGTACGGTACTATTTACTATTAGACTTTGACTAGAGGGAAACAGCTGTCTATTGCCACTTGGTTCTAATGGTTCTCTGATCGAAGTCAATCCGCGATCAATACTTTAATCCTCAGTTGTTTGAAATAAAGATTTATACTCATCAAACACTGATACTGTCATGAGAAGTTTAAAGCAGCAAATACTTATTTTATTATAGCTTGACTCCACACAGTATTTTTGATACAAGTATGGAATTTTCAGCATATGATATCGGTAGCCCAAATTTAGCAGGCCGACCGTTGATATCGGGTGTGCGTCGGCCAGGGATCGAGTCCCGGACCATATGCATAGTTGGCGAGCGTCCTAACTGCTGTGCCACCGACGCACAAACTTGTTTGTTTTCAAGAAATGATACTTCGGTGATTAACTCTTGACATACTAAATTGTATTTTCAGAATCACTTTTATGATTAATGTTTGAAGAACAAAAGGTAACATATGACACAAAAATGTAATTCTTATCAAATAAATTAGTTTTTTATTTAAATAACTTTGATGAGTAATAAAGTTCCCTACAACAGGTGTTTCAGTGATATTAAATTCGTATAGTTTGAAACCATTTTGTTATATTTTGCTTTAAAAATGTTTGTCTTAAATCATAACTAAGTACTTTCAAAGTGTTATTAACCTACTAACAAATTTCTTCTTTTCTTTTCATATTAGGCATATGCTGGATTTTCATACGTAATGCATTATCTATTCCCTGATAGGAATACAGGACTCACTATGTCAGAAGTAACTTCAGCAGTTAAGGAGTTTTGTCGAAAACCATGGATAGAAGTGAGTAGCGTTTAGTGTTATACTTTTTGCATGTTATGCCTAAAAAAATTAATTCTGGCCAATGACTGGACTTGAATGTGTTACGATGGAGAGCACCTTACCTTCAGTTATTATTACCATTATTATAATTAATATCGGGAATTCGATTAAAGTTAATGATGATTAATTACATCACGGTCTTGTGGATACGTCCATATTTCTTCTACAAAAGATTTACACTGGATATATCCAGCTACGCATAACTTCTCTCAGAGGGAGATGTAACTGTTTGATATTGTCCAGTTGATGTTTATATAACTGGTGATAATTGAAGCTGAGATGAAAGTATGACTTCTGGAAGTATTCAAACCAGTGACCAACTTATCGTAAGTTCACTGTTCAACCACGTAATTTACTTCACTGATGTTCTTCAGTCAGATGTGAATGAGTCATATGAAGCTATCCGATTAACATTATAACATCAGCTTCACATACGCCATGTTTTATCATTCTAATGCAGCATACTTGAACGTTAGGCTACCAAAATTCCCATCTAACATATTACTTCTAACTTCTTGTATTTTATTTGCTTTTGGCGTATCAAATTATGACTTCAAACCTTAGTTTACTGTCACAATTACTGCTGTTTGTCTCGGGAATTCTATCAGTAGTGACAAGAGACTTCAGTTCCTGTGACTGCTCTTTCCTTGAATCAACTTCGCCACTTGACTTGACAAAACACTGAATCTAGTGTTCACAAATGATGACGGAATATATGAAGCACGCGAACGTGCTCCAGTACTAAACTTTGATCGTCGCATTATGCGAGTGTTGCCTAAAATATGTCGCGTCATACACAGGTGTCGTCTCCTACCCTTCCAAGAAATGTCAACAGAGATGTTACTCGCCAAACAATGCACATAATTTGATGATATTAGATAGTTGGAGGCAATCGGCAGGAAGCCTTGGACCTAGGTTACGTGCTAGTTGGCACTCGTCAGCAAGGCGTATCTGCAACCTTGAAGGAACTCATGTCCCTTCTGAGATTCGAACCCGCGTCACCCAGTGCTGCAATCAGAGACGTTACCACTGAGCTATTCGGGCTCGTGATTGACCTCCTGTAGGACTGTAGTGGGTATTTTGATTGGACACTAGTAACTAGTGCGACGTGTCTAGTCATGAGTTCCTTCGAGGTTGCAGATACACCTTACTGACGAGTACCAACTAGCACGAAACCTAGGTCCAAGGCGTCCTGCCAATTGCCTTCAACTATCTAATATCATCAAACCAATGTGCACCGTGATGGCGAGCTACCTAGAATGGTGGCCACATTGCAAACTTGACTGATAAAATTCAGTCTGCACCAAAGAAAGGACTAGACACATCACACTGGTTACTAGTGTCCAATCAAAATGCACGTAATCTAAGATGCGTGTCGAAGGTCACTCACTAGGACTTATTCGCTGAACGTACAATAGATTACACAATAACTAAACTTTAGACACCAGTACCTACCAATGGAGCGCTACCGCTACAATGACCCTGAATGAACTGTGGAGTTTCTTCATGTGAGTTCAAGCTTTCATTCCGTTTAATTCGACCGTCTTGTAGATGAATACATTTGGAGAAAATTGGTTTAACTTTTGATGGTCTTACGGAAAAATGGGAGTTATTCTTTTTTTCACATGTCAGAGAAAGGTATCCTGTGTAATATTTTTATACATTGTTTTCATGAATATATATGTATTTTATACCCGAAAACAGTCTTCTTCATGTGATTGGCGCGTTCAAGGTCATTCACTGATTGGTAGTTACTGGTGCTTAAAGTTTAATTTCGCCCATTAACATAACTGATTATCTTAAACTGTGCCTAGACATCTGTTGCCCGAAACAAACACCATTCATAAGATATGACTGTTTCTCTTCTCCTCATCTCAAACAGTTTCATAGAGAAAAAAGAACGGTTACACAAGACTACAGATAAATCTGGTCTCAAATGGATAAACACTAATCAAATCTGAAACGCATGTCTGAATATATTACGTAACCAGACTTTTATCATGTAAACCCCCCTCAGGCATTTGGAGGCTTTTTAACGAAATTACTGGTGGTAAGCAAAGTATTACTGTCCCATCTTTTGATGTAGATACTCTTAATAAGTCTTTCATATGCTCTTCAGTCGATGTTATCATTCCCAATGTTACAAATGATAGGGATGGTAACTTTCATGATTTTAATACTCTTGATATTCTCAAATGTCTGGAATCCCTAGAACTTACCCAAAGCCTTGGTCCCTATGGTATACTAGCTCTTGTCCTCAGAATATATGTGGACATTTTATATTATCCTTACAAACATTTTCAGTGTTTCATTTTCCAGTAATGTTATACTGGACACATGAAAAGATATTAAAATTATCCTGATAAATAAATGATGTACTGGTGTGAATGTTGAATTTAGACATATTGCAATTACTCCTCCTTTTGGGGATTAATGGGAAGATTAATTTTACTCAACCTTTAACGTTCCTTCAAAAGTTCTAATGACCGTAAGTAGTTAGCATATAAACAGGATGAATGTACTTTACATACTGCTGCTGTCTTACGTCAAAACATTGTTTGCTGTTTAGATAAATGAGCCAAATATGTTATATGTACCTTCCTGGAATACACAATCGCTTTTGACTCTGCACCTAAATGTCTTTTGTTAAACAAGCTTTCCTTGATACAAATCAAGTCCTGGACTGGTCGCATTCTTATTTTTCTGTCAGGATGCAGTATACTGCATATAAAGGCAAATCTTCCCCCTTGCTTACTGAAGCCAGTGTCTCTGAAGGCTCTTTTTTGTTTCTTCGTACACCATTTGTCTCTTTCGGACGAAATGAGTTTCGTTAAATATACTTATGATCTGACTGTCTCGTTGCCAGTCACTTCCCCATTTAATTGTTCCAAACTTAATAGCTTTTTGATTAAAATCAGCCACTGGTCTCAATTAAATCGTTTTACGTTGAATGTTTTCAAATGTCAGACAGTTAACTTCACCTTCAGGCATAAACGTGGTCTAAACGAATTGATCCGTTCACATGATGCTTGTAGCCTAGAGGACACTGAAATAGAAACTAAGTCAAGCATTAAATACCTTGGAATAGTTCTATCCTCTGACCTTCCTTGGTCGTCCCACATCTTGTTTATTTATAAAAAAATGTTTCGTCTAACCTTCTACATTAGGAAGTTAAGATATTCATATATTACTCAACCTCTACTTTTACAGTTTGTTAACTCATGCATCTTACCTATTGTTCTTCATTGCTCCCCCTTAGTCTTTACTTGGTTAGTCAAAAAGGACCGTGTCATATTGCGAAGGGTACTCAAAGTTGTCACTAGGGAAAGTATGCCACCAAGTAAGCTGATTATTATTTTAGTCGACAGATATCCGAAATGATGCGAGAAATAGGCTAAATCTATATTACCTGACTCTCACCACCCTCTTTATCCTCAATTCTCCCCTTGCATCATCTCATCAGGTAGGACTAGAAATCATTATAAAATATTACATGCTCGCACAACTAAGTACAGAAACTCAACGATACAATATTTGACCCACGTTATATGTGATGGGGAAAGTGTTAGGCGTAAAGCTTATAACTTACTACGTGGTTAGCAAAATAGATGGTTCATTGATCTTCTCCTATTTTCAAATTATGGTAACACTATTTCTATTATCTTGTAATTTTAGTTATTATTATTTTGTACTTATTTTGCATTTCTGACTTCACTGTTACTGTCAAAAACTGTTATTATCAATTTTGTTTACATAAACCATGTAATGTTGTTTTTTGGTAAATTACATACAATACCGTACGAAATGCTGAGGATTACATGCCGTATCATAAGCACTGTTTTGGAATAAAGCAAATAATTATCAGAGTTATTATTTTCTGACTAAACTTTTAACTGCACTGAATTAGAGAGAAAGGCAAGCAACCAGTTACTAGGCTAAATTCCTGAGTTAAATTCATATTGGCGTCTTGATAACTGAAGTTGAAACCAAAGCCTAGATTGACTACAGTTCGAAACAGTCAACTGAAATTCACAACCGCTAAAGTGAAATTAATCACATCTCATAGGTTGCACCTTGTGTCTTCATTGGTAGACTGATAGGTTGACAATTGGTTTGCAATCATTTCTTAAAATTATCATCAACAATAAGTAGTTAAATATTGATGTAAAAAAGAAAATTAAGCCTGTCACATGAACAGTTGGATCAAGGTAATATTTCCACAAAATAACAGTAAAATAGTTAAAACTGGATATCGCCTTAATGGATTATGATAGATGACAAGTAAGAAAGGGAGTGAATTTTAAATACCATGTAATGTAAAATTATAAAAGAAAAAACTTTTAGCGAAGAGATACTCATTCCAGCGATATCATTCTCAAGCTGTAAAATCGCATTTATATAGTAAATTTTCTCAGCAATAAAAGGAATATTTCCAAAGATGTGTCATTAGGATTGTAAGTTTTATTGATATAAGAATAAAACTTGTGCAGTGTGGTAGAGTGTAATTCCATTATCATATGATTATGAGCAATAAATTGTGCTCGAAACGTCATCAGTAAACATTACTGTATAACACTGTGAGACTTTATCAAAACATAATGGAATTTACCCATTATGGAATTGTAAGTTTTAGATTTTAAAAAATTACGTAATATTAAAATCGTTAATCGGATAGAAACCAAAATAAATTAAAATAAGTAAACTGAGTGACGGAATACAACTGACGGGACTAAGTAGAATCCCACTAAAACTGAGTGAGAGTCAAATTAACGACAGCGGTAATAAGGGGTAGAAATTTAATAGGGGTAGAAAATAACACAACTAAAAAAGACAAAAACAAAAATTACTTAACCAGTGTGAAGACAAATCAGATCCAATGTAGATTTAGAGACTGAACAGATTTCTTTTGTACGCAGAGTTCAGGATTTAACATGTGAATTGCTATTGCTTCTGCAGTTTGGACAAGTTTGATTCGCTTTCTTGTAGCGAACTTCCCACATATTCTTCTCTAAACTGCAGAAGCAATAGCAATTCACATGTTAAATCCTGAACTCTGCATACAAAAGAAATCTGTTCAGTCTCTAAATCTACATTGGATCTGATTTGTCTTCACACTGGTTAAGTAATTTTTGTTTTTGTCTTTTTTAGTTGTGTTATTTTCTACCCCTATTAAATTTCTACCCCTTATTACCGCTGTCGTTAATTTGACTCTCACTCAGTTTTAGTGGGATTCTACTTAGTCCCGTCAGTTGTATTCCGTCACTCAGTTTACTTATTTTAATTTATTTTGGTTTCTATCCGATTAACGATTTTAATATTACGTAATTTTTTAAAATCTAAAACTTACAATTCCATAATGGGTAAATTCCATTATGTTTTGATAAAGTCTCACAGTGTTATACAGTAATGTTTACTGATGACGTTTCGAGCACAATTTATTGCTCATAATCATATGATAATGGAATTACACTCTACCACAGTATTATAATTATTGTATTATTGTTCCCTTGGATTCCTAGTGGAACATAGGGCTTCAACTGCACGTCCCCACTTGCTTCTATCTTCTGCTGTACTTTTCACCTGCATCCATGTTGTTCCATACTGTTTCAACTCTTCTTCACACGATCTCCTCCATGTCACCCTTGGGCGTCCCACTCGCCGCTTCCCTTTCGGGTTCCACTCGAGGGCCTGACGCGCGATGTCACCCAGTAGCCTCCTCAGCGAGTGTCCAATCCATCTCCACTTTCTCCTGCATATTTGTTGAGCGATTGGTTCTTGTTTTGTTTGTTCCCATAGTTTCTTGTTGGTGATTTTTCCGGACATCTGATCTTGAGCACAGAAAGAAGACAGCTGTTGATAAAGGTCGGTAACCTGTTGGAAATATTGTTTGTGACCCGCCAAGTTTCTGATCCATCCGTATAGAAGAACTGACTGACTTGACGTTTGTATTGAAAATCCGAATTTTGTTGTTGATGCTGAGTGACGAAGATTTCCAGATTGGTTTCAGGTTGATGAATGTGTTTCTCGCCTTCCCGATTCTCGATTTGACATCGTCGTTCGTTCCTCCTGTAGTTGAGACAATGCTCCCTAGATAAGTGAATGAAGTAACCTCTTTCAAATCCCTCCCGTTGATGGTGATTGGCGTTGGATGTTGCTGCTGTTGTTGTTGTTGGTTGGTTATTTTCATAACCTCCGTCTTGTCTATGTTCACCTGCAGTCCTGTCTTTGCTGCTTCTTCGACCAGTTTGTCGGTTTTCGCTTGTAAGTCTTCGATTTTGTATGACATCAAACATAAATCATCCACGCTCGAAATCCAGGTCTTCTAGGTTCTTCACGTCGGTCCAGGATATCCCTGTCTTCTCGTTTCCTACTGTCTGACGCATAATCCAGTCCACCACAATTAGGAATATCATTGGTGATAATAAGCACCCTTGTCTGACTCCTGTGTTTACTCCAAAAGCCTCGCTGAGTTTTCCGTTGTGGATCACTTGACATGTGCCGTTGTCGTACAGCTGTTGAATAAGGTTGATGAATATTTGGGGTACGCCGTAGTACTTGAGTAGTCTCCAAATTACTTCGCGGTCAACGCTGTCGAAGGCCTTCTCAAAGTCTATGAAGTTGAGGTAGAGATTTGATTGCCATTTCATGCTTTGTTCGATGATGATGCGTAGAGTTGCAATTTGGTCAGAACATGATTTGCCTTTCCTGAATCCAGCTTGTTCTGGTCGGAGTTCTGTATCCAGTGCGTCCTTTATTCTCTTCAGGATGATGCAACTCAGGATTTTACTTGGCGTCGACAGGAGCATGATTCCTCGCCAGGTCTTGCGGATTCCTAAGTCGCCCTTCTTTGTTAGTTTCACGAGGTAACCTTTCCTCCAGTCAGTAGGCACCTTTCCCTCCTTCCAGACCTTTTGCGATAATGGAGTCAGCATATCTGCTGTCATCTCTGGGTCCGCTTTCAGTGCTTCAGGGGGTATTTCATCTGGTCCAGCTGCTTTTCCAGCTTTCAGAAGCTTGATTGCATTCACGACTTCAGCTCCAATGGTCTTCCACGGATGATTCCTCAGTGGTGCCACGTAGTGTTTCCTGCTTTGCTCTGACAGTTGCAGTGAAAATGTCCTGTGTGATTGTGTCCTTCAGGTTTTGGGTGTTGAACTTGCATTGTGGCCTATCCCCAGGTATCCTCGAGGCTTTCAGCTTCACCTTGAAAGTCCCTTGTACTAGATAGTGGTCTGAACCCACATCTGCTCCTCTCCTCGACCTTGTGTCCAGTAGACTCCCTCTCCACTTCCTTGAGATTGAAATGAAGTGTATCTGGTTTTTGGTGTTTCCATCCGGTGAAATCCATGTTGCTTTGTGTATATCCCTGTGTTTGAACACACTGCCACCAATCACCAAATCATTGAAGGCGCAGAAGTCTGAGAAGAGTTCACCATTTTCGTTCATTTCACCGAGGGCCTCACGACCCATGGTGAGTTCTCTTCCTGTATTGTCTCCTCCCAGCTTCACATTCATATCACCCATCAGGATTTTGATATCGCCATTTGGGACGTTGTCCATTACTGCTTGTAGTTGTCTGTAGAAATCCTCCTTCTTCTCTTGTTCTGAGACGTTTGTAGGCGCGTAGCATTGAATGACTGTAACCTTTTTTCCTTTTGAGTTGAACCTGGCTGTCATTATCCTGGAGGAGATTGGTTCCCACTGCATGAGAGCCTTAGCCGCTGTTGGTGACATCATGATGGCTACTCTCTCGGTGTGCTCGTGATCGTCCTCTGGGTGACCGGAGTAGATTATTGTCTCTCCAGTTGGTAGTTGGCACCTTCCGCATCCGTTCCATCTTCTCTCGCAGATTCCCAACACTTCTACTTTATATCTCCTCATTTCTGCGGCTACCTGAGCAGCCTTTCCAGTTTCATACACTGTACGAATATTCCACGTCCCCATCCTTATTTTTGCTTTCATCGAAAGAAGGCACATCGGCTGACTGGCTTCCCGAAGGTTTTCACCAGCCTGCGTCATTTCACTTCCCCGATTCCAGCGAAAAATAAGGTTGTTGTTTGCATTTTGAGAATTTTTAATATATTTGTGCGTTGAAGTTTTCGTAGCAATTTGGTTAAGTTTTGGGGGTGGAGTTGCTCGCACCGCGCCCCAACCCTCCCTCTTTATCAGGGCTTGGGACCGGCTAGAAAACTAGTGAGCTAGTAATCTAGGCGAGGTTCACTCTACCACACTGCACAAGTTTTATTCCTATATCAATAAAACTTACAATCCTAATGACACATCTTTGGAAATATTCCTTTTATTGCTGAGAAAATTTACTATATATATGCGATTTTACAGCTTGAGAATGATATCGCTGGAATGAGTATCTCTTCGCTAAAAGTCTTTTCTTGTATAGGACTCAACTGGGATTTTGAAATGTAAAATTAAACAGAAATCCGAAAAGGTAATAGTAAAGTTGACCCAAAGAAAGAAGCTAAAGGATTAAAGTAAAAGGGAAAGATATCACGAAGAAAACAAACAGCAGTTACCAAAACAATCTGAAGTTTTTCACACTATTCTTTTTTGTGTGTAGTGATCACATATTAATAGTCTAAATATAACAGTTTTCTGTAACAATAATATCACTGAAAGTCTCGGCTGTCTTTTGAATGTCTGATGATTACAGCTTTTGAAAAAGCCCATGTTTTCCACACACAAGCATTCTGGGATATACTAGAAAATTCGAATGTACCTTTCTGTCAAACTAGTATTTCTGTTATCGGTCACCTCAATAGCTAAACACGCATTTCACCGTTCACGAAATGTCACAACTTGAGTTCATCATGTTTTTAATGAGGTTCGATGGTTTCTTTTAACCGAACATTCAACACTGTTATTATAATAAATGTAAATTATATTTTTATTTTATTATTTTACAGGTAGCTAAAATTACCGAAGAAAATGAGTATGATTTTACTGGTAAATATTGTTTCGATGGTTTATACATTGTAATTCTGTTACAAAAGTATGGCTTCACAACAGATGAATTATGGAAATCTATTACATTCAATTCGAAGGTAAGCTGTAACGACCTAAATTGTCATTTGGAAAAAAAATTTGTTTTATTAATCAAAATGCATTATTGATTTGTTTCAAATTTTAAAATTTGTAACCCATTGTGTACTCTTAGTCGTCAATCATTGATAAATGCCTTCAGAACTATAATAAAATAGCATACAACCTTAATAACTGGCATACTAAACGATATATGATGTATGCACTCCCATACACCTTGCAATAAACTAACAATTGGACAATTCATTAAAATTAACAAATAACATTTCGAAGGGAAAATTAATCGTATGCATTCATTGTTACCCTTTTTAGCAGATTTTTTTAAAGCTCAATTATGTCATAAGCGGATGTCAACTGGATTGTTCAACTGCGTTGAATTATTTTGATAGCTCCTATTAAATTATGCAAAATTTTTTTCTAACTGTAGATAAGAGTGAATGAGATTGGCAGGTTGATATTTATATAATCTGATGATATTTATAGTTGAAATAACAACCTGAGCTGAGGCAGGATTCAAACTATCCGCCTGCGGATTGTCAGTTTGATGTTCCACTGACTGAGCTATGAGATTTAATAGCCATCAATGTCTTCATTATACTAGAAATCAATTATTGGAGATACGAAGTGACACCATAGTAGTGCAAATGTATTCGCTTCTAATTATCATTGAAATATGAAAAATTATTCACTACTGTCTATGAGACTGTCCACTATTCATTGTAATATCAATGAGATTTTGTTCCGTTATATTATAAGTGGTTATTCAGTGTCCCCACTTAAACTAATGCACATAGCTGCCAAGGTCTGCACTGATTCATTAGTCAATCAATATCTTGAACCATTGCCGAGGGTTTCTTTCACCTAGTTGGAACTAACTTCATAATGGATAAGATTTTATTTTGATAAATCACACAGTGTTGTACAGTTATATTAACCGATGACGTTTCGAGCACAAACTATTGATATGATTATGAGCAATAATTTGTGCTCGAAACGTCATCAGTTAATATAACTATACAACACTGTGTGATTTATCAAAATAAAAGCTTATCCATTATGGAGTTATACTCTACCACAGTGCCCAAGTTTTATACTTATATCAATAATACATATGGAACTGACTTCCTCTAAATGACTAAAGCTATCAGACAGTCAACGGGATAAATCCGTATTCCTTGAAGTTTGTGACAAGTTACAAAAATATTATAGTAAAAACTAATAAATTTACTTTTTATTTAACCATAAAACAGGTAGGCAGGTTGACTGGCAGTGGTTACCCTGTGGTCCAGTGTACAAGGCTAAAACGGTGAAGACTACGGCTTACGGGGTGACAAGCTTCGGTGTTATTATCACCAGTGAAATAAATATTCAATCAGATCTAAATGGATATTGACTTCCACTTAGTTAATTAAATTATTTATTTGCAAACCATAGAGGACTCTTTTTCTCTTCAAATATATCGCTTCTTCAGTCGACACAAGACTTGACATTGATTCTACAACGATATGTTTAATGCACTATTTTACAACAAATTAATTATCAAATACAGACTAGTTGCTTGATGAGGATTTTCTAACATAATAGTTTTATTTGAAATACCACACTGTGGTACTGCATGTATATATATATAACCTTTATAATCGAAGGGACTGAATCTCCTGGTAACAAAAAGAACGAGAATCAATTATACCAGATTGTAAAACAAAAACAAAAGAATGAAAATCATAGACCAGTGTTTATGAATAGCCATCGGAATCTAGTAGGTATTTAGACTATTGTTAAACCTATCCCTTATCAGTGAAATGCATAAACAACTTGGCGAAAATTCTAAGTAGCGCAAGCCAGAAAGACTGAATAAGAAAATCAAACAGACTGAAGATGAATTATTGCTAAATAACCAGAATGTTCAACAAAACTTACGATAAAACAAGAAATAGTAGTAAAACTGTTGACTATAACGTTTAGTTGGAGAAAGAAGTTGGCTTATCGAATCTACTCCAAACACATGCAGTAGGAGTGGTGCAACACCAAATACCAGATATACAGAGAAAACTGTTTTCAGCAAAATCGAATGATGATGGAGGATGAAACTATGTAGACAACATTTGAAAGTTATGTGAGCCCTTTGATATGATTATGAGAAGTATACTGTGCTTGAAAAGTAGTCAGTATATTGTTGTAGTCCTAACTATGAACACTACATGAATGCGTAGTGTAAACGTGAACCAAAATAATACGGGATTTCTAAACAGTGCATTGCAATTATTATGAATTGGAAATTATTAGAATTTTCAGTTGCTTAAGGGAAAGTTTTAGTCCAGTCGATATCAATTTCGATAATATAGTCTGCTGAACCACCTGAGGTACACGTTAGCAATGGTTTTCCACTGTGCGTTTTTTCATCAGGCTGTTGACACTTATTGGAATGACGATAGGTAGCTGTTATAAGTTTTCGAAAGGACAAACAATTATTAGAATGTCAAGTGATGAGTCTCAGGAAGCAAGCACGTATTGTTCGAACAAACACGCATATTTTTTGCTTTAGCTGCATAGCATTTGTATTGAATGGTACGTAGTCGATATACAAAAGATAACCAGAATGTTCTGGTAGCCGAGAATGTCATTAACTGTTTTAAAAACTATGCACAATCATACTTTCTGCACAAAATAAGTAAATAATCTGTACATTATCTCTCTGTGTTAAATCATGTGAATGTTGGCACTATTAACCAGAAAGTAACTACAAGGAAATTTCTAGACGCTTTTAATTAATAATTTTGGCAAATATTATGCTGCATATTAGCATATCAGATCGTATATTTTTTAGCTAATAAGCTTTTTAACAAAAGCATACAGAAGTTTCTAATTTAGTTTACTATGATTCTTTTGGAGGAAAATAATTCATTTAAACTAATTTATAAATTTACGCCACATCACTTTGCTGATTACTTTTCAACTAGATTTATTTGTTACAATCACATCTTAAAATTCATTTGGTCTCTGACTATTAATATAAAAGATGATTGAGTTTTATGAAATTTAACGTATTAATTATGCTGAACTCAGTAGGAGACTTCGGATATATTATGCAAATATCATTTTAAAGATGTTAATGAAAACTTGAAATTTATGAAGTCTTCATCCAGAAATTGTACTTATCCCTTAAAGTATTCACTAAAGCAATGAATTCTTTCCTTTAGAAAAAATATTGGGACTTTTTACATGTTTATATACACAGAGGCATTATTTTTCTTGTCTTACGTTACGTTTGGAATATATAAAATTATGAGGAACTTACAAATATAATCAGTAGGAAGGAGTTTTATAAATTCTCTCATATGCGGAAATAACAGAATTTTTAATTTGTGTGCTTGAATTTCAATTTACTGGGTTAGTTAACTGCTGTTGGGTTTTTTTTCTATACAGTTAGTGATCCACTTAAGTGTTTGTTTTTCAGATATAACTAATAATGCTAACTGAAGCTATTCCTTCCTGTATAAAGTTTACTAGTACTAGCAAGTAATGCAATAAAAAAGACTTGTACTTCCCAACAGACCATCAATCAACAGTCAGTGCTTTATTGATAAAGTTCGTGATAGAAACCACTGCCTAACTAAACACCTGATACTGATGTATTATTTCACTATTACCGACCTACTTACTATTCATATTGTCATAATGCTTTATGCTTATCATTTATACTGAGGGAGTTGTCTTCAAAGAGGAGTGGACGGTGTGAAGCTATTTGATTTTTGTGTAGAATATATCTTTATATTTCACCGTCATCACTCCTCCATGGGACATACACAACTTGGTTCAAATCTTCAAAATACAAATACTTATAATAAAGAATTCTGTTATTTGAAATGAATCCGATGGCATCTTTAACATGTAAAAGTAACACTGGTCTTATGGTTTTTGAAAGTGTAAAAGTTAGATAAGATTAGTGCTGTGCATATGGTTTACACAATGACATTATGCCGATCGAAATAATCTGAAGGTTTATAACATGACTCATACCCATGTTGACAGTTCAAAACCTATGAGGTGGATAAAAGCCAGTCATTATCACTGATCTCTTCCTTCTTCTTTGACAGAAATGGCAGTATGAAATAATGAATCACGGTATCTGAGAGGGTGGGTACCACATGTGTTAAGGTAATGAAAATATTAGCAAGATGAATGGCCAAACACAACAGGTGCAAAGTATAGGTACATACGCCAGCTTTCAGCATCATTAACGACTAGCAACCCGTGCCTTACATTCATAAACCCACCACATTACTCCACTTTTTTATACGCATTAGCAAAAATATCTTAAAATATTACTGGCACCAATTAGTATGCGTGACACAACAAGCGAATCATTTAACCATTACTAGGATTCAAGCAATATGAGTCAGTGATTCAAGAATAGGATGCTCGTCAACCTAACATATTGTTCGAGGTTCGATTCCTAGCCGGCGCACTCCTAATGCTCGCCTAGTTTGCTAGCTGATAACAATCGAGGCTAGCGACCCCACCCTGTGGAAAATAAACACTACTACTGGAACTTCAAAGCTCTACGTTCTATTCAGAATGCAAACAAGTGAAAAAAGGATTCAAGTACATTCTGCCAATATGTTCAAAAATAAAATAAGAAACACGTCTTGAATCCTACCAACGTTCACTCTGCGTTATGTAATGAAAGTGAAATTTATCAACTTGCTATCATTATCACCAATATAAAAATCCTTTTACTTTTGTTTTATATTCTTTATTACTACTGTTTTAGATCAATGGTAAATCAGTCAGTTGGGCATTGGGATATATGCTAGATCAATCTGGTCATCTTCCAAGTGAAAGTCCTAAAGTTTCACTAAGTACAAAATTATTTATTGTCTTATTTATTTTATTAATATCATTGTTTATTGGATCTGTTATTGGATTACTGTTAACAAGATTTTGTGTGACACAATCGAAAAAGTCAGCTAGCCAGATATAGTGTAACAGCTGCACAAGAGAGAAGGGGTATATGAAAACACACATGAAAATTTATTTTCCCCTTTCTTTTTTTTAAAAAAAAAGGAAGAATATTCAATTTGTTAAAACATTCATTTTGTACAGTAATACAGTTGAATGATCATTATCACTATGGTATTAAGCAATACATTTGAACAGACAGATAAGAAAGTAAAAACATATGACAAATAAGTAATTGAGGAATAGATGAGTAGCAGTGATCATTTCCGCAGATTTCTACACACCTCTTTACTCTATTTACGATATGCTGTAATGAATACATACTAATATTCCTTTCTTTTTAGACTATTTTTATATACACTCGTGTGTTTGAGTTATATAGTGAGGATAAATAAAGGTAATGAACCTGAAATTAAAATAAACTGGTATTTGTACTAGGTTATTTTTATCTATTCATATTATTCTTAGCATTCACAATGATGCATTTTTGTTGTTTTATTAACTGACTCTCATCTTTATAAAGACTATTGTGTGTCAGCAAATCAATCGTAATTGTGTATTTAATTAATTCAGTGTTTCATTTTGCTGTGTCTATCTTTTGTGTTTATCACTATTTTATTTGTCCTCTTTGTTTTTTTTATTTCCCCTCTCTTCGACTGATTGTTTATAAAAAATGTTATAACTTTGTATTATTTTATCCAAATAGTGTAATGTAACAACTACGATTAAACTTATTCCTATTACTTATATTTTTCATTCGTCTCAAATGTACAAATGAATGCACAGAAGTGTGCGAAATTTACAATATAAAATAATTTTGTTTCCTTTTACCATCACTGCACTGGTTTTATTAAATTATGTAATTGGGACAGAAGATGGATGTGTTAGTCCATTCTTCATTTAAAAGGACAATGGACTGAAAGACTTGTTGGTATTTCCTCCATACGCTTAGTTTCTTCACTGATATCGAATGTTTAATTAACAAATTTCATTTATTGACTGTTGTGTGACCACCACTTGGTTAGTGATCTGAGTTTAATTGTCTTTGAACAGTAAGCTTATGAAGATATCCTTTTTGGGGGACTGAGTGGATTGGTGGAGCCCTTTGTTTGACGCTTTCATAGCGTTTAACGGATTTCAAAGGATAGATATTATCTAATAATTTTTCAAAGAACTTTCGCATTTCTTCTTCTGTACAAAAGTGTTGAAGTACTGTATCATATCCCACTGTGTTCACCGGTTTATATGTACATGTGGTCGCACCTGCATAAGATATAGTTTGGTGTTTTATTAGCTTTCGCATTTGACTGTAGATGTCACATCAGTAGACGTGGTCACGTCTTCAACAAATCTGCAGTCATTCTGGGTTAAAATCACTTGTTTATTGGCATTGATCTAGGCACAAATCATTATATTCGTCAATGAGAAGCATCGGGGCCAAATTTGAAGAAAATGCAGTCTAAAGGTACCTAGTTTACTGCAAATTCTATGAATTGCAAAGTGCATAATTATTGTAAGTCAATTCTATTCTGTAATACATGAGTCACTTATATTCCAAGAATATTTGTGAAGTAATGTGGTGTCTAAGTTTATTCACTTCCATTCATGTATAACAGACCAGAAGTCTGAAAAAAACTAATGGAAGAGCATATTCACCTGATTTCAGTGAGGTACATCCACTCATCAAATCACCGAGAGAACCCCACGGCAAAATTGCTTTCTTGTATGTCGTTCTCATCGAAAATTCAGATGGTAATATAAAAATAAATCTATGTAAGAAAAGTACTTGGAGAGGTTAATACACATTTTTATAGCTACATTCCTCTCCAGTACGAAAGAAATTTGGTAAAGACACTCAGCTATAGGGTGAAACTTATATATGTGCAGGAGATCAACTAAGCTTGAATAAAGCAAGAAGGAATGACGTCCTTGTACTCCATTGATTCTTTTCACATGCGCATAACCATGAATAATTAAATGCCAATATTACAAAATATTCAAATACTGTGGTTGTTAATCATAAAGGTGATTGATATTAATTTCACGTAAGTGGTATAATGGAAAGGCATAAAAGCAGTTGTTAAGCTTGTTAGTATGTATAGAAATAATTAAGAAATATTCTAGAATTACGAACGACCGCTACAAACTGGATAGAGGTACAAAATCAACAAGTTGAACAGAGAAAAAAGTCTGATCGAGAATGTAAATAAAGATAAAGTTAGAGTAGGAAAATACACTGTCTAAACAAAATATAATCTTGGAACTATTCCGCCAAATCTTGATCACAGTTCTTATGAATTATTTTGCAGCCGAATTAAATTAACAAAGAAACAATGTAAACGGTACATTCATCATGTTTTCAATATCCGTTGTCTGTAGCATAATGTATATCCTAAATCCGTAGCTGTCAAGTTACCTGATAACTCCAGCAGGTCGGTTAAAGCAACTCATTCCGCAACTGTAACGTTTGTACGAGAACGCCTTCACAGAGCAACCAAAAAAATGGAATCATTTCAAATGCGAATTTCCAATATTGATGGACTCTACACACAATCATTATCTAGAACAACAGATTTAAGCGAACACTCTTGTTTTCAATTAGATCTCATCAGGCTTAACTGTAATATGTATAACTTTGCAAATAAAATTCAAATATAAACCAATCATGGTGTTTTGTCTATAGGATAATAAGATGATGAATATAAAATGTGCAATTAGTAATAATACTAGTAATGATAATAATAAAAATGGTCTTATCAATAATAAGGATGGAAAAGTGAGGCAATCTGTGATAATGCGAATAATGAAAAACACCATGATTAAACAAACAACTGTTCAGATGGAAGTGGTCGATAAAGGCTAGTAAAAACAAATGAACCGATTAAGTAATGTTAGATTGTAAGGGAAGTAAATGAAACACGTTTATAATGAAGATGTGATAAGATTAAGGGATGATAAGAAAGGGGTTGAAAATATAAACAACGAGTGGTGTTGAAGTCATTGGTTGGTCATGTCTTAATTGGCCAAGGGAGGGATAATGGCTGTACGAACTTCTTTTGAATGCACAGTTTAGGTTTAATAGTTCGAATGCCTATCGCCTCAGCTGTGTGCAGTAAACGAATACGAAGTCTGTTGGAAAGATTCGGCGGGATACGATGAATTACTTTGAAGGCTCTCGTTTTCTCCACCACGTGACCTACATCAATTGAATGTGACAAAATTGAGCAACGGATTGTTTTTGTCTGTCCTTTGCCAAACCACGATGGGAGACGTTCACTAACACGTTGACTAAGCTGTCTATTAGTACGCCCAACATAACTGTCACCGCAGGTGCAGTTGAATTGATAAATGCACATAGATGTGGCAAAACTAACAAGCTTATCCTTCGTTTGCGTCCCAATCATTCGTCCGCTAGAGAATGACAAAAATAGGTGTGCTGCGTAAAATGTTCTTCGTATACTCCTTGGAAAAGGACTTCATCCTATTTAGACAAGACCGACAATGTTGTAACAAGAAAAATGGGGGTGGCGTTGCAACTTTTATTCACTCCAAATGGTCTATTTCTAATAATGTTTGCTTCTCATTCTCAAATGACTTCATAGACTGTATTACCGTCAAATGTCGTCCCAAACATCTCCCCAAATATAAACATATCTTTGTTACAAACATGTACATTTCTCCAAGTTGCTCACTATATAATTTTCCAAATTTTGCTGATGAATTCACCATGTTTGCCGCTGCCAACTTCGACAACTCTCTATCTGTTATTACTGAGGACTTCAACTCGTCAGATTGCTCTTTCCTTGAAGCACTTGGTCACACAAACATAGTCAAATTTCCCACTCGACTTGACAGAACACTTGGTTTAGTTTTCACAAATGACGAAGGAATATACGAAACACGTAAACGTGCACCGATCCTCAACTCTGATCACTCTATTGTTCGTGTTTTACCAAAAATATACAGCAAAACACATATTAAAGTCTTCTCTCATCTGTCTATGAAAGCACAACAAAGATGCTACTCATCTGACAACTTACTCAATCTAAGGTGCATGTTAAAAAATACTAACTGGGACTTATTCCACGAAAGTTCATTAGATGACACAATTGTCAATATAACGGATTATCTTAAGTTCTGCCTTGATATATGCTGTCCCAAACAAACACTACTCAAACGCCTCGACCGCTTCTCATCTCCTTATCTCAAACAACTTCGCAGGCAAAAAAAACATTATAGAAATCCAACGACAAGTTAGGATTCAAAAAGCTTGTTGTGCTGCTATATTTTGACTAAACTAACGTACACGTATATCTTAGTACTTCCTCGCGTTTATAATTGTGTGCTAACGTTGTGATTACTCGACGTCCACAACGTAATTCAAAAGGCACTTGCGAAGGAATACGACAGTGTATTATTGCAGCAATCAAAATTCAAAAATCGAGCGAGCACAAAAGTATCAATTGTTAACATGCAAGATTTAGAGTAATAAACAAATCAAAGTACAATTACACAATGAAAGTATAGTACTATGATGAGTAATAACATGGGTCACTACAAGCTTAATGCTCAAATCAAATCTGTCTATAATGATACACTTTTATCATGCAAATCTCCTATCAGCATGTGGAAACATTTTAATGAAACTACTGGCAATAGTAAGCGTTGTAACGCTTTTCCCTCTTATGATATTAATGCTCTTAATCAGTCTTTTATACGCTGTCCTTCTACTATAACTACTTCTAATGTTACCAATCATGTAGCTGAAAACTTTCATGACTTTAATACTCTCGATGTTCTAAAATGTCTTAAAACGCTCAAGCCCTCACGTAGCCTTGGCCTTGATGGTATACCTGCACATGTTCTAAAACAATGTGCAGATGCTTTATGTTCTCCACTAACTAACATCCTAAATGCTTCTTTCTCCAAAAATGTCGTACCTGATACATTGAAAGACATTAAAATTGTCCCTGTTCCTAAACCTGGAAACAGCAAGAACGTAAAGTTCAGACCCATTGCCCGTTTCTAAAGCTTATGGAAAAACTAGTACTTCTTAAACTTGAACCCTCCCTTAAAAACTTTGAAGACCCCAAACAATTTGCCTATAGACAGGGTAGGAGCACTTTAGACGCTGCAGCCGTCTTACACAACAGTATCGTTTCATCATTAGATAAAGGTGCCAAATACGTCCGCTGCACGTTTCTCGACTTCACTTCTGCTTTCGACTCTGTACCTAGATGTCTCTTGCTAAATAAGCTCTCTATGACGAAAACTGAGTCCTGGGTCACTAACTGGTTGCATTCCTACTTCTCTAACAGAATGCAGTACACCGTATACAAAGGTAAATCCTCCTCTGCTGTGCTCACTGAAGCTGGTGTCCCCCAAGGTGCTATACTCTCCCCACTTGTCTTTTCTTTCTTTCTACATGACTTACCATCTTCAAATGACATTACTTTTGCGAAATATGCTGACGACCTGACAGTATCTTTGCCTGTCAAATGTCAAAGTGACTGCTCTAAACTTAATGGCCTTGTCAGAAATCAGCCGGTGGTCCAAGGAAAACGGTCTTACCTTAAAACCCTCCAAATGCCAAACAGTCAATTTCACCTTTAGGCATAAATCCGACCTAAACAAACTGGTTGGCTCTCACGAGGTGTGCAACATAGATGGCACTGAAATAGAAACCAAGTCGGAAATTAAATACATAGGCGTCATTCTATCTGCTGATCTCTCCTGGTCGTCTCATATCTTGGCGATTCTAAGAAAATATTCCGTCTTACCTTCTACATCAAGAAGTTAAGACATTCTGGAATAACCCAACCCTTACTCCTACAATTCGTTAACTCTCGCATTCTGCCTATTATTCTCTATTGTTCCCCCTTAGTTTTTCCCGGGCTACTGAAGAAAGACTATAACATATTACGCAGGATGTTAAAGGTTGTCAGCAGGGTAAGCAACGTGCCACTTAACCAGCTTGTTAATATTCTGGTCGACAGGCACATGGACTCATGTGAAAAATGGGCCAAATCCATTTTATCTAACTCACACCACCCTCTTCACTCACAACTCTCCCCTTGCATCTCATCAGGCAAAACCAGAAGCCTATGTAGAAAACTATATGCTCGCACCAGCAAGTACAAAAACTCAACCATACCTTACTTAGCTCGTGTTCTGTGCGATAAAGAAAGCATTAGGCGTGACACCTATAATTCACTAAATAGTCAGTAGTACAACTGGACCTCGTCTTTCCAACTCATATCATTTATCTGTACAACATTTTCTTTTCCTTTTCTCTCTTTCTTTTCGTTATGTGCTGCTTTGTTTCTTTCTTCCGCTTACGCCAGTAAATATGACAGCACTTACTTTTCTAACACCTTCAAACACTGTTCAGCTTTACCTTTGCTACTGACATGCCAATATGTTGTTGTCACAATGAACTGAGGTTTCCTTAATCTATGTAGAATTCTATTTATTGATAATGTACTAACTGGATGCAATACTGTAGTAAAAATGCTGAGAATTCCATTCTGTATCACAAGTACTGTTTTCGAATAAAGCAAATTATTATTATTATTATTAAAAAAAAGAAAGTCTTTGGAATAAAATCTCTCTTGATAAGTCACCATTAAACTGTAACTTAATAAATAGAGGTTTCTTACGTGCAGTCAGAGTGCCAGGTTTTTTCTCCGATGTTTTAATATGTTTCTTTGTGAAACTACCCGGATAGCCCATCTCCGTGAAGGAATCGTGAATATATTCAAATTCCTTTTGTAAGACGTCATCCGTACATATCTTTCTTGCTCTGCTCGTAAGACATTTAACAACATTTCTTTTATATTTAGTGGGCACGTAACTAAGGTAATGTGTGTATTGCTCTGTGAATGTGCTTTTTCTATGCACGCTTCTCGCAAGTGACCCATCTTCTCGCCTACAATGATTATCATTGTGTGTAGACCTTTGAGATATAATTACACATTATTAAATGTTTTACAACTGTTTACCCATACACACACACACCATTGTATACACATATATTTTCATATTCAGTTATCTACGACCATGAACTTTTAGTCGGACGTACTCTGATGAAAAGTAGACTCTGTTTAAAGTGTTTAACAAAAGTAGACTAATATTTGAAATTCTGAGGTCAAATTTTGACCACAGCTCATACAACCTTGTTTATAATACATGTTGATACCTGTTTCATGACTCATATGATTGGACAAAGTTTTTAAAAACAAGAGATGTCCTTTTTATCTAATTTTTGTTACTTTAATTTCGACTAATTTGCCTGAAGAAGTTCGGACCAGTTTGCCGAAGGGAACGTTGGAATCACTCATTTCAATTTCTCTGAGATTTTACAAATATAATTTTTACAAATGTCTACTTCTCACTCGGCGCCCAATTATTTTGAAACTATTCAGTCAAATCTTGATCACAGTTCATAAGAAAATATAATTAATGTAACGAAATTAATGAAAAAAATCAAGTAAATTTTACCAAGGTAAGACAAGATTAGCAGTAGTTTCCTTCTGGTCGCTAAAATTGAGTTTTAATCGTTCCATTGCAACCGGTTCAGTGATACTTAGTAGCCTCAAGTTGTTTTGAACTTTAAATATCTTAGTGGATTTAAGTATACCTAACAGGTGGCGAGTAATGATAACAATAAGCACGTTCGCATCTTCCATACGCAATTTTCTTGGAATAATTTCAGATCTCTAGTCACAAATCTTTCTTTCTGTTCATCCAATGTATGTGCTTTGGCAGGTACATGCAAATTGATATATTCTTTTGGAGGTAATTCTAGAATATTTCCTAATTATTTCTAAACACAATAAGCAGCTTAAGAACAGCTTTTACTCCTCTCCCTAAATTTATCTGCTCGGGAACATACACCAGTGTGGTTAAATAAGAGTGAAATAAAAAGCATTAACAACAATTCGATATAGGCACATCGGGTTCAAATAGGCTATTAAGTTAACAGTGAGGAATCTTTTTCTATCATCTATCGGGTACCGAGAAAATTAACAAAGACCACTAGGTCTTAGCAGAGGCTTAAAACAATCGAAGCTCTGGGTGCAAAATAAACAAATCCAGCCACTATCACCACTCGGACCTGCAGTGGGACCTATAAATCCATAAATACTGTATGACGCCTTCTAGGTGTGACCTTTTGTCGTGTATTTATAAATTTCGAATTATTTAATATTGCACTTGTGCACAAATAAGTATCTTCAGGTAGTTAAACTTTCAGTCAGTCGCGCTTTATAGTTGCAAGAAATCTACCATAAATCTAACGGAATTTCTTTAACGAAAATAATTAAAAAATAAAAACGACTCGAAGTTTAAATTTATAAAAAAACACTATGGCGCACATTGATGTTGTGTCTCCTAGTTTACTGTCTACATTATCCACTTGATCAATAGGTTACAACCGACAACCATAAATTGACGACTATATTAGTTACGTATTGCAAGCATCTATCGTATTAAATTTCACACCATATTATGTAACATTTTATATTCGCCTACTAATCCTATAATTATGCACTTCTTTCTAACATCTATACACCTTATGTATTATTCTATATATGACATTAATTGTTTTCCTACTTGACATTTAAATATGATTATAATCACAAATATTTTAATTGCATTTCATATTATTATTAATGCATGTGTTCACACTTTTGATCTAATTCCGTCACCGGATATAATTTCTTAAAAACGATATATATACGATTGTACAGCTTGATAATAAATTCGTTGAAAAGAGTCTCTTCGATGAATACTGTGTTCTCAATGCTACAACGGGAATTATTAAATTATTAATACAGCAGACAATATCTAAATTGCTGAAAAGTTCTAAACAAATTGTTGAGAGAAGCGCAATAGTTAGACATAGGATTTATAGAGATTTGACTGATCTCAAGGTTGACACAGTTACGGACCGACATCACCAAGAGACATTGAAAACAAAGGATTGTGGAAGGCTGTTTCGTTCTAGTCCTCGATTCATCACTAATACAATACCCAGGATTCTGTGAAGGAGTAAGCCCAAGACTGTCAGACTACTCAACGACCACATCGCCATACAGTTACACAAACTGAAGTGTACGTATACAGCTCTTGCAAGCATTCCGAATAAATAAAAGTCTCGAAACCGGGATTCTTTCCCTGCTGAAAATTAATCGATTGTTTGCGCAACTCCAAAACAAAATTTACTGAATAGAGTTACCCCAGTATGTATATTGTAAAGTTTAACTGGTTTCTAATAAATGAGTATGCAACAGCGGTTACACCCTGCAAATGTGTGACGAAATCAGATTTCTGTCTGACAACGATTTCAATAAACTGTCATCAGATTTCATAGAGAAAATTATAATGTACATTCTTTTTCATTTGATGAAAATAAAAGACCATTGACTACCGTTTGGGAATTACTCAGGTTTCCAGAACAGCTGAATCGCAAAAAGCAATAGGTAAGAGCTTCGGATACACTGAGGAAACCAATGAGTGACATCGCGTACCAGACCAACTCTCGAGTGGAACCTGAATGGAACGAGTTGGGCATCTGAGGGTGACGTGGAGGAAATGAGGGCTTATGTGCGAACGTGAAGACAGATAAACACAATTGAGGGAAGCAAGATGAAATGGAGGTGTGCAGTTGAAGCCTTCTGTTCCACTTAGAACCTAAAGGAATAATAATAGTACACTACTGACAAGGGCATTTGACAGCACACAACTAAGTTGCCAGTTTGAGTTTGTGTCAACTAGGCAGAGGAGCAAAAGAAATTAAATGAGATTATTTGGTAGAAATTGCTCAGCTTTATAACTTGAAAGCAATTCTTCATCGAAGTGGACGAAAAAAGATTGAAACAGAGAACTCCACGGGTGAAAGTCAACTAATTCCATCAGTAGACTGTAGCTCTAAACTTTAAAGGTATCAGTAGAGTTTTTGAATTCATATTTCATCATTCGATTTAAACTAGTACTAGTCAATTCCATCTCCCAGGGTATACAAGTATTCAGTTACTTTAACTGTATAGGCTAACACAGGGAAGCTCATTTCGAAAGTTAGTGACACAATGACATCTAGACATGTTTTTCATTAATATAACCGGAAACCAGGAACGACACATAGAAAATATTGTTTTACCATTATACTATATCTTGGCTTAACAAATTAACAATTGCTAAGTATCAAATGAAATCTGGGAAAATAACAATATGTACAAAAGAAATATCACATTGTAAATACAATCAAGAAAGTCATAAAGAAAAGCAACAAGACGGAATAAAACACAAAACAGTGAAGCTAATGATTCGACGGTAAAAACCAATAACCCATGGGTACCCTGTGTAAAAATATTGTTCCACAACTTAAAAAAAAGAATGAAAAAGCTAAAAAGAAAAGGACTCTTTCTGTTGCACGTCTACGACGGGCTAGAGACGTAAGACGTTTAGAGTGATTCATATACCCAACCATTTCTTTTAGTTCAGAATAATTAGAAATAATTTTACTAGAAGAATTCTCAAGTAATTCAGCATTAGCAGCACCACGTCGAACCTCCTCAGCCAATATTCTAGCATAAGTTGTCATATCTTGAGTGAGTTCTAATGAATTTTGATACTGTTCTTTCAGACTGGACAGTTTACCGTCATTTTCATTTCTGTTAGATGAACGATTGACGAGTTCTTCTTTCTCAATGATTTCTAATGTTGAATTGGCTGCAAAAATCGCTCTGTGATATCGATTCTAGTATATTTAAAAGCGAATAGTTTATAAACAAGGATGCACAATATATCGAGAAAAGGAATATAACTAATATGAACAAGAAAATACTGAGCGAACTAATTCATCAATACTTATTTAAAAACAGAGAAAATTTCTCAATCACAGCATGTGACTTTCCTAACTTAAAAAGAAATTAATCAGATGTTATAACAAAACCTATGGAAAAATACACCTCTTTTTTCTGAATAAGATCTTAGCCAACCAATCCTGCAAACAAAGGTTAGGATCAGTTTTATTACTTGCGGCAATTCATCACAGTATCCTTTGGGGACCAGAAATATTTAAGTCGAAATATGTAATCTGCTTGATTAGTTCAGTGGGCCGATGATGATGATCTCGCCCACAAACACGAGAAATTGAAGCTCAGTGTTTAGATGATTTCAATAATTGTAACAACACCGAATTGCTAAGAAATATAGGCTTTAAACCTTTTCTAAAAAAACATAGGAATACTGTATACAGACTTAGAATTTTAAAGAAATCAAATGGATTTATACACAAAGTTTAATTTTCCAGAGGGTTAGGTACAATAACCAACATTTAAACTTACACAGATAACTAACCACTAAAGAACTCTAACATGAAAATTGTTGCCTTGTCCGATTCCCGCAAGGAAATATGGAAATCAGTAGATGACACGAACCTAAAGGGTTTTGAATTGATGAGCTATTACGTTATGAGTCTGCTATGCGATTCAAAAGCCTAATATTTATATAGGCTTTATAGGTTTATGTATCCCAGGACCTTCAAATATAAAGTGCCACTCACATCTTAGTACACAAAAGTATCTATCTTGCGTAAATTTTAAATGGCTATAGAATTAAGTGTATGTTCAACAATGAAAAAAACCATTGTCGGATAAACTTCCAGATTACAGATCTTTAAATAGCATAGATTTAGAAGTAAGTGGTTTAAAATATATTATGAAGTTTAAGCACCTCTCTTTCATATTAATTTTATGGATGACTTTATTCATAAAAGTACATTTAAACGCACAAGATATGCATATCAGTAGATAATTGGTCAAATTTTCCAACCACCGACCAGTTACTTATACATTTGAAATCTACTTTTGCTATTTCTTTGACAGTGGTTAATAGTTATACTTTGTTTTTTTCAGATGGCAGATATATCACTCACTTCATTTCACAAGTATATAATGTTTAGTACACACGAAGCAAAAGAGGATTTACAAAAAACACTCATTACCTGTAACACAGAAAGTTGTTTCTTATTATGGATAACTGCTTCATAAAGAGACCTATTTGTCGATGAGATGTTTTCTTCGTGCTCAAAACTTTGTAGTTCATCCAAAGTCGAATTTATAACAACAAGATTTTCTCTAATTTCGGCTTGACAATAATCTAGTTTTTCTCGACAGGATTTTATATTACCAGCTTTTTTACTGATACTTTCAATTTCAGAAATCAGTTCTTTTGTTTTAGCATCCAATGCGATGACTTTTTCAAGTTTGTTACTAATCAATAAACGTGTCATATTTGTCATTTGTCAGGGTTAGATATACATTACCTTTCAAAATTAAGTAAATATATTAGGTTAGAGCTTGGTTCAATACAGAATATTAAAAACTACAATTGTACCAGAAAACGATAACTTGTTCATATGCGTACGAAAACCAAATTTGTCTTTATAAACTGTTATCTGACCTAGTAACTATCAACTTTTGTATATTTATCAATGTACAGTGAAGTAAGAAATCAAATGATAGTGGTTCATAACATTGGAGTCAGAATAAAAACTCGATTTAGTTTATACGTTAATAGACAGCTATATTTGAGTGAAGTTACACTATAACAGTCACCACCAAGTAGCTTTCAAATGATCTTGTACAACCCATCGTAGTAAGGCGACGTCAAGATTAGTACATTTGTTAATAAACTGTATTCCCATATGTACAGACAGTTTTATTCCTGAGTTAACAATAACAGATAATCCAGTATTTCGACAAAACTAGGAAACCAGATAAACAACATATGACGAACTCAATACATGCATGGCATTGATGATGAGTGATGTGATTGGCTGCCTCAATGTGATTTTGAAGGTTCAGTGGTTGTTAAGTTTAACTTCATCCATATTTATACTCGCTCTTACATTAAGGGTAGGACAGCTGCATTCTCCAAGTCTCACAACTAAAAAATACATTCAAATAAGCTATACAGCACTGAGGTATATTCGGTAGTCTTGTAAAGGTGGATGATAATGATGTTAGCTCAAATTAGTGAGTGATAGGAAGTGAGTGACCCAGTTGGTTACTTAGATGGGTTCCAAAACGCTAATCGACACTAAATAGCAACCGACGTTTTCTTTTGGTACTTATCATATAAGTTTACCATAAATCGCTTAGAGCTAAACGTAATTGTACTGTCTGGCTATATTACCCCCAAGTCGTTTACGCAAGTCAATTACCAGTAGTACAGTCAGACATGACCCTCCATTTACCGAGTCACATAATGACAAAAGACCTTAAGAATAAGGACTCCAACCGATAGGTGTTGCTTGCATTTCGCAATGAACCGAGGGGTTAAACTAGCTAGGACGAATGCTCCTGCAGGTCCTACCATGTCAAAAAAGTCGTTTGGATAGCATTAAGACTAAAAGCATTTACCACCATAGTTTTAGTCACTCATATTATATTGGTCATAGGGTGAAGTTGTAGTGATGATGAATAGGGATATAAAAGCAGTATGGCAGTTATACTGGAGAAGGGAGTTAGAAAAAGTCAACCTCGAAAATTGTACATCCCAACTTACCTCGCAGGGGTGCGTAGCCAACGGTAACATCTTAATACGGAAGTTAATCCACTTTTTAATGTCTTTTCATAATCAAACCAGCTGGTTGCAACTCGGACTAAGTAAAAGATGAGTTCTATCAAAAGCAGTCTAGTTTGTTGCTGGAAGTAAAACGCTCAGATATAGTCATTTTAGTTGAAGTAGGGAAGCTGTGCAAGTATGAAAAGTATATTAATGGCACCTATGAAGCCCCACGCTGACGAACCAACAACGGTGATCATCTTTCATATTTCTGTTTACACAATCACCTGTTCTTCGTCAGTTCTAACTACAAACACAAGGTGAGATATCGTCTAACCAAGCGGCTTCCATCACCAAATCAACGATGGACCCAGACAGATAGTGTAGCTATAACCTACAGAAGGAAAGGGTCGATAAAAGACTGTTTCGCCTTCTGGAATACTTGTGCGGATACTAATCACACTCTTAATTGAAGGGAAAAATAAATAAACGAGTACCTGAGATCGACAAGACTCATCCGAGGTAGCCTCGTATAATATCTAGTCAGTTGTACAGACGAAAGTAAGGGGCCCCTAAGTAAGTGAATGCCACTGGGTAATATCATCAGCCGTCCCACAATAAGTGTGGCTCTTAGCTTGTTACATCAAATATCTGTCCTGGGTAATTGAGTTTAAGAAAAGTTTATACATGAAGGAGCTGACAGAATGCAATCTTTTGAACATCTCAAGCGGAAAATCTGTAGTGTTCGGAATGTGATTTGCCCCTGTCAAATTTCAGATAAGGTAACACTTCTGCAATTAATAGTGTTCTCTGCGCTGGTTAGTTTAGTTGCGGAGCTTTCGTCGCCCATATCAGGATTAATAGCTGAAGCCGTTATGCAAAGATCAGAATTAATAGCTCTACCTATAATTAGACCGAAAATCTGGATACGTTACGTTGATGATACATTTGTAATAATTAAGAGAAATGATTTAGAATATACCCATAAATTAATAAACAACATATTTGAAGACATCAAATTCACAAGAGAAGAAAAATTAGATAACAAAATCCCATTTTTAGATGTCTTAATCAGGAGAACCAACACAGGAGATTTAGAGACACAAGTTTATAGAAAATCAACGCACACAGATCAAATACTCAACTATACTAGCAATAATCCAGTTACTCACAAACGAAACTGTGTGCAGACATTGTTTAAAAGAGTTCAGACACATTGTAGCACTCCAGAGTTGAAAAGAATGGAAGAAAAGTACCTACAAACGGTCTTCAAAAAGAATGGTTATCCACAAAATTTCATCAAAAAGTGTTTAAAGTCGAATCAAAACACCAACAAAGAACCATCATCAAAGACCACAAGAAAATTCATTCTACCATACATGAGGAATATCTCTGAAATAACAGCTAGAATACTGAAACCGTTAGATATAGATATAGCACACAAACCAGTAAAATCGCTTAATTCGATATTATGCAAACCGAAAGATCCAACAGAAAAAGGGGATAAAATTAATACCATTTACAAAATAAATTGTATGAACTGCAACAAACATTACATCGGCCAAAGTGGGCGTCCCCTTCGAATCAGAATCCAAGAACATAAATCAGCCGTGAAAAGACATGATATGTATTCTTTAGTATCAATGCATATAGACAATTATGGTCATCAATTTGATTGGGATAATGTCAAAATCTTAGACAGAGTAAACACCAAAAGTGCCAAGGAATTCCTAGAAGCTTGGTACTCAAACGAAAATGCAATTGTTTTTGACTTCAGATCTTCCATACTTGTTGCTGTAAGCAGCTGATGAAAATGCAATTAACAAACACGTTAATATAGACGAAATATACCAACTAATGAAAAGTAAATCAGGTGACCAGAAAGTTTAAAATCCAAGTCAATAGAAAATGGTCAATACATATGTAAAGATGGTTACCAGGAGACGCAATTATATTACTCATGAAGAAATTTAAATCATTTCACTTTATGCTAAATATTGCGCTGAAGATGTTGCCCAGAAGGACGATGAAAGCTCCGCAACTAAACCAACCAACTCAGAGAACACCATTAATTGCAAATCATCCACCTGAGCTACAAATCTTCTCTATTATTTCAAAGGTAACAATTCGCCCAAGCCAAAATGTTTTGGTCTTAGGCTGTGGTTGTGTTATACTTTTGACACGCAGACCAAAACTCGAGTGAGGCTATTTATCTCACATCACAGTAAATTACCTGGAAAACATTAAAACTCTCAAGAAATTTCATCACTGTTTTTAGTGGCATTGGGACAAAGATAACAACAGACTCTATAAAAGAAAATTTTCTCCCCAGTTAGATTCCAGTAAGCAGTCGTTTATGTGCATTCAGGCTAAATGGGTCCAAAAAATCAAGGAAAAACAATGGTATTTGTAGTATCAACATGCATATCCACCAGTTATAATTCAAGATTCGAAGGTATTTTATCAGAAGCTATCAATTTTAGCACAAAACGCAGTGCTCAAACTAATCATATTAGCAGATAATTTTGTCAATGAAGCAGAGCCTGAACCTGCCAGAAAAACATATAAGAGGGATCCACAAAGTCCCACCGATAATAATGAGCCCTTCCCACAATTCATTTCCGCGAATCAGCTAATTCTGGTCAGAAAAACTTCAAAACCAATGATTGGAGGAGAAAATACAGTACTATAAGTCATCTACATGAGATAATATTTTATTTATTTTATTTATTTTGGTTACAGCTTGATGCCACACCGTATTTTCAGTACAAGTATGGCATTTTCAGCATGGATATCGGTAGCCCAAATTTCACAGGCCGACCATAGATATCGGGTGTGCGCCGGCAGGGGCTCGAACCTCGGACCATGTGCATGGTCGGCGAGAGTCCTAACCACTGTGCCACCGACGCACAACTAAGTGGACCTTCATGATGCATCAGATAATTAACATATCCCTGCTGACTGACTGGTTTCAACGTAGATCTTTCTACAGATGCGCAGCACTTCGAGTTGCCACACTCCATGTAGCACACAAAGCAAGAGAAGAGAGTAAAGAGAGATTCAAATGAGAGATAACAAACAGAAGTGTGAGGCGAAAAGAATAGTAATACGGAAGAATAACAGAGTTTTATTGGACATTATAAATCACAAAGAGTGAATGCATCTGCACCAGTCACTGCGAACAATCTCGAGCCACATCACAAATTGTCTCCAGCCACTGGTTTTCACTATCCCGAAGGCCCCAGCCAGGAAGTCTACACCTCCCTACGTGGCTGGATTAAACTAACTGTTGTGGATTTCACTGACTGATGAAGCCATATTTTGGTTTCACCACCACTAGCTCTTTTCCAATCTGATTCTATGTCAGCTAACATCACCCGTCGAGGAAGACAATGGCTAGGCGTTCGCAACCTATGTCCTAACCCCGCCGCCTAACCTCAATATTGCTCACCCAATTATACCACCTAACACAGGAGATAGAACACAGGCATTTATGACCAAAGACAGCTGGTCTTTTCATGTATTCCACTTCCAATGACCCTGTCTAACAGCCAATCACAGAGGAGGACGGAGCGAACTGCTGAACAGTATACACGCACTTTGGTCGACAACCGGATATCGTGTCTACTCCAGAGATGAAGTAAGTTGGCGTATGCTGAACTAGTCTACTCTATCAATGCTGAGATTTCGTCAGCGACCAACCCGCTGGCGTTGGCTGATACAAGTACCCAA